CCAAAACTGGAAACTTTTCAAGTATCACGGAAATTAAATTCCCGGTTGTGTGAGAATTACCCAATTCATAGAAAATGGAAAAAGTTAGGAAGAACTAAAGTAAAATCATGCAAGATGTCATTTGTCAAATACGATTGGGAGCTGATTTTGTAGTTGAACCCAATGTTTGCTCAGTATGTCCTGATTAACTAAATGCTACCCCGATGTTTAATTAAAGCTGACCTAATTGTTGATTCAGCTGATAAGTCCTGAGTGGCAGCTAGTTAAGTTAATGTTAGTAGGGATAGGGAACGGTACGCCTCTGACCGAACCGAAAGTGAATAAAGATAACGATACGCGATTAAGGTACAACCACCGAACTGAACAGAACAGTGATAACTACGATTGAGAGTAGTTGGTTCTCGGTCAGAGTTAGAGAGAACAAGATTGAGATTTATAGAATTCAGACGGGTCCTGAGAGTGACTCGTGAAATTTTTAAATTGAGTTCTCCACGCGAGATTTTTAGCGAAACTTTGAGAAGCAAAGTTGAAGAGTTGTTTAGAATTGTTTATAAAGTGAACTGCAAGAGGTAGCTTTCCGGAACTTATCGCAGATTAAATTCATTGATACTTAATAAATTGTATTTAGGCCACTTAGCGGTCCTTATACTCAGCGATTTAGCTATTTAGTTCGGAATTCAATTACTATCCAGTTTCTTGCGATTCTTTCCGAGGAAGAGAACAGTCGAGAGCAATTGAGTAAAGGGGACGCAACCCAGTATAGTACATCGATCGACCACCAAAATCAACCATTCAACCGAAGGGATTGTCGCCAAATACCGGATCATAGCTCACCCCTTTGCTGGTTCTGGTATTTAGGGAAGAGACTCAGTGGACAATAGAGAAGGGATATATTGGGTCCAAACAGTCAATTTCCCCAAGACGACACTTTGCAATGCAAAATAGTTCGTACTATTTTGTACTATTTTGAAATATCCATTTTTGTGACCGGCCCCAAAAGTTTCTAAAGGCGCTTTTGGCGCCAATATATACTAGTTTTGAGGGGGGAGCACACGCCGAAAAACCTCTGATCAAATTTTTCCAAATCAAATTTTTTGATCAAATTTTTCCAAAAAGTGTCTAAAACGCTATTTTGGTCTGTTTTTTCAAAAACTTGGCCAAATATGGACTTTCTAAAGTTTTGGGAGAGCTCGAAAATTCAATATCGTTGACCTGAGAAAATCAAACTTATAAACTTATTTAATCATTTATTATACAATAAATATATTATTATTATTATTTTTTAATAATCAAAATCTATCTCAATTTGAATTAATTTTTTTACTTAAATGGATCTCTATCAAAAATTGTCAGCGCGAGAATGTTTCGAAATTATGAAAATACTTTCGTTAAAACTGTATATTTTAGCTTGCCTGAACACCTAATTATAATTAAATAATTCTGTATTTCTGTAATTTTAATACATATAATCAATTATCAGAAAGAAATGTTATAGCCCTAGGCGAAGGAAGTTCACCACCGGGATTTTGAACGCATCCGGTTATTACTTCCGGTTTTACGCCCTATGTAAACAAAACCCACTTTTTGTTATTTCTCGACCCCTGATAATGCTAGAAGGCTGAAACTTGGGGGGATGGTAGGTTGGGGGAAGACCTATAATGTAATAATGTTTGGACCCAATCCGGCGGCTACGTCGGAAGCTATTAGCATTGAAAATTGAATTAGACTATTAACACCTGATAGTGATAATTGACTTGTGATTTTATTGCACCAATGTGAAGGGGGGCCAACCCAGTAGGGGGCCCCTTGTGACCCAATCCTCTCCGGAACTTCCTATGGGCTGAAAATTGCAATTTTAGGTAAAAGTGTTAATTGACCCAATATTTTCGAAAATATGGGAAGGGATGGTCCGATATGAATGAAACTTAGTGGGAATGATCTCCCATCGAAAATTAGACGTTTGGATGAGTTTGACCTCATTTGACCTTGGATGACCTCTACGAGGTAATTTGGCATTTTGACCCCAAGACCCCCGGAATCCCCTGAAAAGCGATAAATGAGCATTGTAAGGACCCGTAAGGGGTACCTACCCACCTGGGGAGGTAAGAAGAGGCCCCTAAATCGAGAATTTTTAGTTTTGACCTATGTACCAGAGCGAAAGTGATTTTCTGTAATTAGCAAACATTGGGATCAGCTTAACCCACTCCACTTGGACTTTCGATAAGAACGACAAACAAGTAAAAATACAGCCCCGGGCAAAAATTGGGAACAAAAATTGGGGGAAATGGGAATTTCGGGATGAAGATTTTATGAACAGCCCTAGCATATTAAATGAATTCTTGTGGTGTTTTTTTTTCGGATCAAAATGGACAGGGGGAAGGGAATTAGCCAGCCCTTGGACTTAGGGGAATAAAATTAAAAATAACCAAAACTGGAAACTTTTCAAGTATCACGGAAATTAAATTCCCGGTTGTGTGAGAATTACCCAATTCATAGAAAATGGAAAAAGTTAGGAAGAACTAAAGTAAAATCATGCAAGGTGTCATTTGTCAAATACGATTGGGAGCTGATTTTGTAGTTGAACCCAATGTTTGCTCAGTATGTCCTGATTAACTAAATGCTACCCCGATGTTTAATTAAAGCTGACCTAATTGTTGATTCAGCTGATAAGTCCTGAGTGGCAGCTAGTTAAGTTAATGTTAGTAGGGATAGGGAACGGTACGCCTCTGACCGAACCGAAAGTGAATAAAGATAACGATACGCGATTAAGGTACAACCACCGAACTGAACAGAACAGTGATAACTACGATTGAGAGTAGTTGGTTCTCGGTCAGAGTTAGAGAGAACAAGATTGAGATTTATAGAATTCAGACGGGTCCTGAGAGTGACTCGTGAAATTTTTAAATTGAGTTCTCCACGCGAGATTTTTAGCGAAACTTTGAGAAGCAAAGTTGAAGAGTTGTTTAGAATTGTTTATAAAGTGAACTGCAAGAGGTAGCTTTCCGGAACTTATCGCAGATTAAATTCATTGATACTTAATAAATTGTATTTAGGCCACTTAGCGGTCCTTATACTCAGCGATTTAGCTATTTAGTTCGGAATTCAATTACTATCCAGTTTCTTGCGATTCTTTCCGAGGAAGAGAACAGTCGAGAGCAATTGAGTAAAGGGGACGCAACCCAGTATAGTACATCGATCGACCACCAAAATCAACCATTCAACCGAAGGGATTGTCGCCAAATACCGGATCATAGCTCACCCCTTTGCTGGTTCTGGTATTTAGGGAAGAGACTCAGTGGACAATAGAGAAGGGATATATTGGGTCCAAACAGTCAATTTCCCCAAGACGACACTTTGCAATGCAAAATAGTTCGTACTATTTTGTACTATTTTGAAATATCCATTTTTGTGACCGGCCCCAAAAGTTTCTAAAGGCGCTTTTGGCGCCAATATATACTAGTTTTGAGGGGGGAGCACACGCCGAAAAACCTCTGATCAAATTTTTCCAAATCAAATTTTTTGATCAAATTTTTCCAAAAAGTGTCTAAAACGCTATTTTGGTCTGTTTTTTCAAAAACTTGGCCAAATATGGACTTTCTAAAGTTTTGGGAGAGCTCGAAAATTCAATATCGTTGACCTGAGAAAATCAAACTTATAAACTTATTTAATCATTTATTATACAATAAATATATTATTATTATTATTTTTTAATAATCAAAATCTATCTCAATTTGAATTAATTTTTTTACTTAAATGGATCTCTATCAAAAATTGTCAGCGCGAGAATGTTTCGAAATTATGAAAATACTTTCGTTAAAACTGTATATTTTAGCTTGCCTGAACACCTAATTATAATTAAATAATTCTGTATTTCTGTAATTTTAATACATATAATCAATTATCAGAAAGAAATCTCAGATTGTGAGTCAATTTTATATCGCATTCGATTTTTCAGTCAATTTTTTCAGTGCTTTAAATGTCTTTTTGTTGCAGTATCGAGAACACTTGATTTGACCATTTTTTTTCTTAATGCGAAGTATTGATCAAATTCTTTCTTTATTCACTTTTGTCAAAACATTTCAAAAAACTATTTATGCTTTCTTTCTGCTAATATCTAACTTGAGCCAAATTGAGCTCCCATCCAACAAAACTAAAGACAAATTATTAAAAAATAGATATTTTAAATATAATTTTGCAAATTGTTTCTGCAAGTATGATTGTGGTCCGATCTTTCTTTGCTACTTTGCAGCAACCGGCAGCAATTCATTTTTTTTGCAGTGAAATAATAAAGTTTTGTATTACAAAGGGCGCAAAGCTAAATTTGGTCAAAGCTCGAATTGAGACGCAGGGGATTTTTTTTTTGCAAAAATGCATCAATAATTTCTGTATTTGTCATCAAAGATTACTTGAAAAGAAAGTTGAAATTCAAAAGGTAAAGTTCTCTTTTGAACGCCTTAATACCTGAAGTAAGTTTGCACTACCTTTAATGTACCTTAACTAACTTGTAAATACCTCAAACTTAATTATAATTTACCCTAAAATTTCAAAGCTTTCACTTTACCTATTTTACCTTAACTTTTTTAGTATATGTGGATCAGATTCTTTTAAAAGACAATATCATCACTAACTGTTTTCCTCCTAAACTAAAAGCTAAATAGCCTCCCACTAAAGTGAAAACTGGGACTGTGCCTTTAGCTCTTGTTACGTCAGATGAATGCTGAAATTTTAGCTGAATTCGAGCGATGAAAGTACAGTTTTTATGACATGAAATTCCTTAACCGTATTGGTATTTTGCTGAGTTTTGTAAAATAGCTCAGATTTTTATTCCCGAAAAGGTGAAACGAAGATCTGAACCAAGTAAAATTGAAATAAATTGTGGGGAATAAGATTGACTTTCACCGCTTTCAGCTTTTCAATTTTTTTCACTTGAGCATTTCTATCCTTTTCAAATTTTTTGCACCGACGAGCTAACATGAGGCGTCATTATTTTCCGACTAGGTTGGCGTGTGTTGTGTTGTGTTGTGTTATGCTAGCGCGTGCAATCAATAGAGAGGTAAAAGGTGGCATACGTAAATATATTTTTCAATATAAAACAGGCTAGCGAGAAAAAATGTACACAGCAAAGCTAGCGACACAAAATGTGCGCGAATACATTTTCCTACTATTTATCTCAGATAATAAAATTCGAAATGGAAACTGTTAATGAAAAGGCAACAATACAATACCTGCAACCCTTTTAACCATTTCACTGTGTTTCTGCACTTTATTTTGGTTAAATAAAATAAATGTTGCCTTAAGGTTTCTCGGCGTACTTGAATGTTAATTGCGGACGGATTACTAAGCAGTTTTTCATTTTCCAACCCTACATTTTTGCGCTTTTTGCCTTAGACAAGCGCTATTGAGTTTGTAGTTGATTTATATTTTCCCGTCGATTTTATAAAAATGTAAAAAGCAAAAAATGGGATGGCCCGTTGAATTTGAGTCGGCGGATTTTCCCGCTGAGCTTGTTGAATATTTGATGATGTCCAAAATTATCCCGCATCAGCTTATCTGTACAGACTTCGATGAAAACAATCAGAGAGATGATAAACATTTTTGCTTTGTTTCATTCTGCTGCAAATGAAAAAGGGGATTAGTCTTTTGATACTTTTTGATTTATTGGCGGTCAAACTATGTCACAATCCGCAACTTACCTGCTGTTATGGTAATTTTTGAACCACCGTTTAAATTTATTGCACTGATTTTGAGCTCTACGGAGATATATTATCTTGTTTTTCTAAACTCCGCACACGTCACCCATGTTTGAACTATTTAATTTAATCAAAATTTACTAATTAATGTTACCATGCTCTTTCAATTTTTATTACCTGGCCTATTTGTCTCGCAGACAGAAGTTAATCACCATCACTACTTTGATAGCTATTTCCTTTAGAAAAAAAACTTTGGAGCGATTTAACGGTTTTCAAAACATTTGGTATAAACTCTGCCTCGAATTAGGAATTTAATTAATTTTCCCTCCCAGGAAAACATTATGTTATTTTTCCACAATTTTGTTTACGAACCGAGACTTCAACAGGAAACCAATTGGCATTTTACTTCCGGGAAAAGGATGACGTTGTGAACCTTTTATTCTCTTCTTTTATTCTGCAGGCAACAGTTGGTATCTTTGTCGGTCAAAGATAAAACATAACACGTGTGCTTCTTTTTCTTTTACCAGACTGATATCTTATTACACTCCTAGGTCAAATAAACGTTTACAGGGAACAGAATTGAGAGCAACAAAAAACAAGAAGATAAATAAACGTCGCTTAAACCTTTTTTAAACTAGAAATGTCACTCATCGAAACTCTCAGAGGACAAAATTACTTTGCCATGACAATTTGACAAACAGTTTGATTTACTAAAGCGTTATCCCCCGAGAGGCCGAAAGAACTGCAATTAAAAAGTCAATACTTTCCCAAAAGAAAATGAGCAGCATGGCAAATAATTCTGAGAACTCGTCACTCGTCGGCCGAGAAGGATCATCGTCTGGTTATTATTTCCATTTCTCGGAATCGCCTTGGTTTCAGTTCGTCTGCGCAGTATTACTCACTTCGGCATTCGTCCCGCAGAGCAGAAGACTGAACCGCGGACTATGTTACGGGTTGCAGGTGCTGGCATATCTCGTGGCTGCAGTGTGGGTTTACATGACTCATTTCGGCCTCCATGTTTTCTTCGTCTTCTTTGTTATGACGTCACTGTCTTTCGTGCAGACGCTTTACGTACTGTATCATCACATGCAGGTAATTTTCAAATTTTTGTTTCGGAGCATAAATCAAGACTTCATTTTAAAAGTTACATATAGAGAAAAATATCCTTATTAACATGAAGAACCCTCAATTTAGTAACAAACGTTATAGGTTTTTGCCTCAGTTGAGAAAAAAGAAATTGATAATTTAACGTAGGGCTAGACGAAAATTGAATGTGCTCATTTTTTATTATAAAGGTGTGGAAGTTCCTCGGGTTGACGTCCATATACAATTAAATTACAGTTTCTTATATGGAGGCTATCGAAAAAACCTTTCTTATGATTACCATAGAAGGAAATTGTATGATAAACATCTTTGCAATCAAGTTTTGTTTCCAGAAAGTATACTAAATTGTTTTGAATATCAAATATTGCAAACTTGTGACAGTTTTTACCAAACGAGGCCAACTATGGCATCAAAAAATCTTTTTGAGCAAATATTGATTATTATACAACGTTTAATTATGAACATTGTTTGATATTTTTGCATTTTTGCATTGTTTGCACTTTTTTCTGTGGAAAAAGTTAAAAAATTGCGGTAAAACGTTCTCTCCCTTCTTGGTTGTAAGCTTCTTTCTTTTTTTTTGATATTTTGGGTCTAAAATGTAGTCTAGAATGAGCTTTTTACACAATCAATCCGAAAATTACAAGCAAGTGTTTTCTGTATAAAGACAAATAACGTTTTTTGTTTTTATGTAAAAACGTTAAAAAACAGGTGAAAAAAACGAGCTGTTTTCAACCACTGATTTTTTTAAGTAAAAATGTTCTAGCCAAATACAGAAAAAAAATACGTTTCTTTTGTACATAAACGTATACAGCTCTGTGTGCAAATCCAAAAATCAATTTACATGGCATATATCACCAAATGCATTTTATCTGCGTTTTAGCTGTCTATTACACTCTGGGTTTTCTTTTACAGCAAACTTTCAAAATTTTCATTAATGGAAAAATGCTTGTCATGAAACTTCATAGTATCAAAAATATATTTATTATACAATTTAGTAATATATTATTGATTGAAAGTATCAAAAAATAAATTTATTATACAATTTAGTAGCATATTCTTGATTAAAAGTATGGCAAAATTTTATTTTGTTACTGATAAAAAACCTTCTATTAAACTTCATGGTATGGAAAAAAGCTGATTTCGTTTAGATAAAACTTTTTCAATCTATGAAATGGCATGAAATTGTATAATAAACCTTCATTTTATAGTATTAAACTGTATAAAAGCATTTCTTGTCAACACGGGTCAAAATAACTTAACTTCAAGTTGAAACAAAACTACTTGATTTTTTGTTTAAATCAAAACAACAAAAAATTCCAGTGTATTTGCAAGTAGCTCTGATCGTTCCTATAATAATAACATTTTCAAACGTTTTTGTAAATAAAAACAGTATGGTCAGCTTTTTTCCAGTTTTTTATAGCGGAAAGGAGTTTTACTCAACCAAAGTTAGTTGAAAGTATTCATTGTATTCATTTATTTTAGTATCTTTCTCTCTAGTATGTTTACTTGCTAGTTCTTTTAGTTAAGATTTGCATATCATCAATACCTAATCAAAATGATCTCATGCCTGAGCGTTTTTAAAAGGACTCGTGGACCATTTTTGACGCTTCAAATGACGAAAAAAGTTCAACATGAACTGTCACTTGATCTTTATAATAATTGACGAGTGGAGTGGAAGGAACGCTCATAGGAAACTAGTTGCTTGAACAAGAAACATATGTTTTGCAAATGAGTGGGGGCTAGTTGCTTAAGAATCTATTGACCGTTTATGTTCAAGTGATTGCTTGTGGTAGTAGTTTTTGAGTTCTATCGTATTGACTATGTAATTTTTTTTTGATTAGTTATAGGGAAAGTTAGCGATGATTTTGCGTTGCATACACGATAAACAACGGGAGAAAACCCATGTTTTCTTCTAAACATATTTCAAAAAAACCATAGCTATACGACAACATACGAAAAACTTTACTTGAAAAATGCTGATTCCATTTTTATGATTCATTTTGTAAAGGTAATTGTAGCCAATTAATTCATCACTCTAAATTCATGATGGATGCTTTTAATCTCTCTCGCTGCACGTTCAAAAAATCACACTTACTTGAGGATGAAAAATAGTCTATTTTCACTCTTTTATTTTAAAACTTATTGAGATCGGAAACTTTTTTACCAACCGACTGGCAAAATTTGTTTTATTTTTATTGTTCAATTGTGGAATTTCTTTTTGCTAAAAAAAATTAGCAATAATCTGATTGTTCTAATTGGTGTAATTTGCATTTTCACTGAAAGTTATTGTGAACCATATCGCACCTCTATTCAGTCTAAGTTAGTCTTCGAACTAGAAAATGGTTGTTTCTTTGGGTGCAGATGAAATTTGGTTAAATAATTTTCTATAGTCAATTTTTTTAAAATTTGAAGAATGTTTGAAAAACAAGGCTACATATGCACGATTGTTCAAGACTGAGCTCAAAACGAGAAGAGCTTGTTGTTTTGCAAGTGGCAAGAATTTTCTGACCATAATTATTTAAAAAACATGAAAAAAAAATTTTTATTTTTTTTTCAACTTAATTGCTCCGACTTTCGTGAAAGTGACGGAAAATTTTAGCTTGGGCTGGTTTTTTCTTCCAGACAAATTTCGACTTATTAATGAGGAATTTCTGAAGTAAGTTTCATATCAGCTAAAAAGTAAAGTTGTCCTGAGCTGAAATTTTTTTTTTAACTTGTGATCCTTTTTCGTGAAGCTATGAGGGTTTAAAGATTGGCAATTTGGGACAATTAACGCGCGATATAAATCGCGCTACTAATGCGCGAGAATTAATCGCTCTTAGAAATTGTTCCAAGTTGGTTGAAACATGCTATTTGTAAAAATTGCTACAATAGTAGGAGCAAAATATATCAATTTGTACTTAATATGGCATGTGGGGAGATGATTAAAAAGAATCGCAAAAAAATGTTTAATAATTTTTTCAATTTTGATTCAAAAAATGCATCTTTTTTTTCAAAAACAGGCACTCATCCATAGACCTTCAAAGTCAGTCTGATCTTTCAGGGCTTCGTCCTGATACCAGCAATCTAAATGTCTCGACTTTCGAAGAAAGTGACGGAATATTTGTGCTCGGGGTGGTTTGTTTCTCTAGACAAGCTTTGACTTATTAACCTGCCATTCTTGACAAAACTTTATTTTATCTCAGCCAAAAGTTTTGTTGTTTTAAGCTCAAAATTGAAAACACATTTTGTCTGTGTTTATTTTTTTTTGTTGTCTGTAAGTTTTAGAAGCTTAAAAATTGCCAAATTTGTCAATATCAGACAATTAACGCTTGATATGCTTCGCGCTATTAACTCGCAAGCGGACATTTAATCCGTCTTAGAAATTGTTCTAAATTAGTTGAAGCAGGCTATTTGTCAGAATTGTTACTTTACTAGGAGCGATATCTATCACTCTATGTTTTATATGGCGTGTGCGGGGATAAAAATACCGAAAGTTATTTTAAAATTTCATCAATCTTTATAGGCACTCACCGCTCCACAAGGCTGAAAAGGCAGTCCTAACATTCAAGGCTTCGACTCAATACGATTAGTTTGCTTCTATTTGAGCGCTGTGCGAAGAGAGTAATTTCAAAAACAGTCTTTATTTGAGTACAGTTGTTTTTCAAAATATAATAACACAACAAAAACTTTCGCTTCAAAAATCACTAAAACAAATAACTCCAAAAACGTGTTGAGAAATGAGATTAATAATCTTTCACTCTAGAAAAAGCATGTGAAAATAAAGTTTGACAGAGTTTTTCAAGGTTTATTCCGAAGTGTTTTCTCCTCTCTTGATTAATAGAGTTGCTGAAACATTGATTACTTTTTTTAACTTTCTTTCGCCTTGGTATTTCCCTTTATTTTTTATTCATGCTAATTTTTTTACTCAAAAGACCTGACGACAGCAGACTTCTAAATGTTTTAAAAACAACAAGGAATTTATTTTCTTCTGCAGAAGAGGATCGAGGGAGATCCAAAGGTTCCCGCTTATGTATTAGTTTGTGACATCAGTTCTTGGCCGATCAACCTTAGATATTAGCTTAAGATGCTGAGAAGGGGAGTGCGCGTCAAAGAAAGTAATTTTTTTAAATCAAAATTCTCCAAAAAAGCCTAAAAACGGCATTTTTGACCTGTTTTTATTTTTGAAAGTTTCCTGTGGTAAAAATTATTTTTCAAAATGGTTGTCTATAGTGTTCTGGCTCCATACTGGTCTCTAAATAAAATCTTGGACCTAAATCTGCCTCAGTTTTCCTGTAATTTTTTGAGAAAAAAAGTAAATGCATTAAAAGTTTAGTAGTGAAAATCCATATAATATGTTACATAGTTGTTTGATAATTTTGAGTAATTTTTTGTGATATTTTAGTTAATTTACCAATTTCGGAAAAGTTTATACATAAAAACTGCAGTATATACTACGAAAGCTTGTAAAATAGTATAGTGCATATTTGTACCGATAGTTTTGCATTACTAATTTTTGTTGCTCTAAAAGACTACTATAAACTCCTAACAATCAAATTTCTAGGCTTTCAAATAAGCTTTCAAGGTTTTCACTTTGGACTAGAGTAGGAAACTTTTTTAGAAAAAGTACATCTTAGATATTGCTGAGCTATTTAATTTATTTTCCAAGTAGATTTCAAGCTATGTCTCTTTTTTTGCTCGACTTTAAGTAAAATTTTACTTTTTTATATAATTATTTATATAACCTGAAACAACCCAACGACATCTAGAAAGAAATAGAAGAAACATCAATCTCCTTTGTGTATGTTATTTTTAGGTTGTCGGAAAATATAAATTATAAAAAGGATGATTTTAAAAGCCTATTAGTTTGGTTATGCGAAACTTAAATTGCCAGACGCCTAAAAACACTCAATTTTGTGTCTTATGGCGACTAACAAGATGATCTATATTTGTGAAGGAAATACAGGTGATGAAACGTTATACTTAGTATATATGTTACAGAAACATTTACATATGTTTATTATTTTTTTTATATCGGAACCTGTTTTAGCGAAACAATTAGTATGTCCTAAAACCTTTGCGTTTTCGAAACCTTTTGTTTTTAAATTCACTAACTTTTATGTTCACTGAGTGTAACTAAATTTAAAAAAGTATATGAAATATCGCATTGAAACTTTTTGTAACTCAAAAATCTGACATTCCAATTAATGCTTGAGTTTGCGAAAATATGATTGGAAGGAAATCATTGAACTGTTTCAAAAAGCTCAATTAAGTATAAATAAAATTTATTGAGATGGCTTTTCCTAGTAAAATCTTAGAACACACAAAACCGCTTGTATAAGGGCGAAGCGCTGATTGTTTCTACTGCCTTTTTAAGGTCTATGGAGCAAAAGTAGCCTGAAAAAAAATAAATGCAAAAAAGAAAATGAAAAAAGCATATAAAATTTTTTTTTTGTGAAAATCATGACCCACTATATCATACAAAGTGAAAATTGATAGATTTTGCTCCTAGTAGCAAATCAATTATGGCAAATAAGCTTCCTCATTCAATTTGGAATGATTTCTAAAACGGATTAAATCTCCGCTTATGCGCTTATTGTCCCAAATTGGCCAAAAAGGTGAAATATCTTTTCAAATTTAAAATCAGGACAACAATAACTTTTAAATGATATAAAAAAATTAAGTGAAAAATGGTTAGTTAAAAAGTCGAAAAATGCTGGAAGAAAAATCATCCCGAGCGCCAAACTAGGGTTCAAAAAGCGAGTTTTTTTACGTTAAAGAATAGCTTTTTGCGTTACTCGCTCGTCATAGTTATTCCGGAAAGTTTGATATATCGATCTAATCACGACTGGAAGGACTGTAATATGATAAATCATTCGACCCTTTCTGATGATTATTTGTGGTATCTCATTTTGCGTGGTAGAGAAATTGAACACACGAAAACACCCATTTCCTCCCTCCTTTCAGTGGTTTGAATAGAAAATAGCACTCAAGGTTTGCAGATGTGTTGTTCATTTCTTGTGTGCAGACCAATTTGTCGCCTTCGTTTGACAAGCTGTACATGGAGCTGTTCCGTCCCCTGCGGATGCCCCTGAAAGAGTACAAGAAACTGGTGCAGGATCCAGACGTTAGACTGCGCACCATGGCCCCCGGGGAGACATATGCGATAGAGGGAGTGAGTGTGCCGGATCAACTGTCTCTTCTAGTCAGTGGATGGTGAGTTCAGACTTAAATTGTATATTTTGACAGAGCTCATTGTCAGTTACTTCTGATTAGGTTTTTGATGAAATAACCAAATCAATCAGTTGTAAGGCAACCATATGCTGGTCAGATAATTGTGACTTGAGAAGTTCTACATTTTCAATTCTGTCTGGGTTATTTTTTATCGCTGAGTTTTTTTGTGTTATTGAATTTTTGACAAAATGGTGAATTTAGATAGTGAAATTTTTAGTGAATGTCACTTTTCAACTTTTGTATCTTGATTTTTACGCTCTAATTAGCAAGCTTTATCTAAATGATTGCCAGAATCTTTGTCGGATCCCCTTAGCGATCTCTACTTCCCTCCCATCAAGAAGGGGGTATGGTTAAATAGACTAAGTTAATCGGATTTTTGAAAAATCAGAATGCAGAAAAATTAGATTTCTCAATAGAAAGCTCAAGAGCAAATTTACTGTTTCTAATTAGAGGAGCGGCGATCATGTAGTAGATAACATAAAAGGGGAGATTTATTAAGTAGATCCATTTTTTGCTAGTAACAATAAGCTTGACAGCATAGGGATAAAACTGAATTTTAAAATGAATTCATTTCGTAAAAAGTGACGTAGGCTTTCTCAGTGTTCTCGGAATGCTATATTTTGCTGTTTTTGATATGTTCTTTGCTTTTTTCCGGATTTTGAAGAAAGTGAAGAATACACATGCTTGTTTTGTTTTCTATATTCCGACCAATTTTACGAAAAGAGTTGACAGCGTTTGCGAATCGATCAGGAAATTTTTGATTTGCAATGCAATTGCGCTTACACTGGACTTGTGCAGCTTGCATAGCTTTTCAGTTAATACTATACATGAAACAAGACTGCTCGTATCAGGGCGAAGCCCTGAATGTTCCGACTGCCTTTTAAGGTTTATGGAGCAGTAATAACCTTAAAAAAAAATTAAATGTAATATAATAAAATTAATTTTTTTTTTCTAAAATTTGAATTTTTTTAATGAAAATCATCCCCCCACACGCCATATAAAGTACGAAAGGATAGATTTCGCTCCTTGTAACAAAACAATTATGGCAAATAAGCTTCTTTCAACCAATTTGGAACGCTTTCTAAGACGGATTAAATCTCCGCTTAAGCATTAATAGCGCGAAATATATCGCGCGTTAATTGTCCCAAATTGGCCAAAATGGCTACCTTTAAGCCGCCATAACTTTATGAAAAATGATCACAGGTGAAATATTTTTTCAAATTTAAGCTCAAATCAACAATACCTTTTAAATGATATAAAAAACATCTGTCAGAAATGGCTCGTTAAAAAGTCGAAATTTGTCAGAAGAAAAAAACCCACCCCGAGCACAAATATTCCGTTACTTTTGTATCGAAAGTTGGAACAATAACTAAATTCCAAGACGCAAATTATTTATGCGTGACAATTTAACTGCGTAATCATTAGTGTTCCAAATTGAATTGAGGCAAAGTAATTGCTCATAATAAATCGTGTCAAATGTTAGCCTTTTACATTGTAGTTTATCAAAAAAAATTTCAACAAAAGCTGTTCCAGACCAGGGGGCAATCGGAATATTGAAGGCTTTAAACTGATATACGAGCAGTCTTGTTCAAATTTCTATAGTCTCTATCTAGCAAAATCTAATAGCGGAAATTGCTCTCTTAGAGCAAAACAAACTTTGTTGTATAGCTCTAATGCATGCAAAAGCAATGCTTGTAAAACTACCTGCATCAATTTTGAAATTTTTATCAACTTAAAAAGCGCAGAGTTTTGTTCGAAAAAATCAATCTTTAAGGTAACCAGAGTTTTTTAACGCTAAGTTAATGCAAACCGAATATAGAAGAATATTGGCAAAAAAATGCAAAGAGTGCAAGCTCATAGATTTTCGATATTTTTTCTACGTGGTTGAGGATAAGCAAATCTTGTTGTAAAATTAATTTTGCTTTCTCAAAAAGATCAACCGGAAAATTGAAAATTGAATTCAAGGTTCATAAATATTCCCGTTGGCTTCCTTTTACGGACTATTTCAGAAATTTTTTAGGCAAATTTTTTTTTTATTGTTACGACTTTCGATACGAAAGTAACGGAATATTTGTGCTCGTGGTTGTTTCTTTTCAGACAAATTTCGACTTTTTAACTAGCCATTTTTGCAAAAATTTTTTAACAAAACTTTTTATCATTCAAAAGGTATTGTTGTCCTGAGCCTAAATTTGAAAAGATATTTCACCTGTGATCATTTTTCGTAAAGTTATGGGGACTTAAAGATTGCCATTTTGGCTAATTTGGGACAATTACCGCGCGATATTTTTCGCGCTATTAACGCGTGAGCGGAGATTTAATCTGTCTTAGAAATCGTTCCAATTTGGATGAACGAAGCAAATTTTCCCTTGATTTGATACAAGGAACGAAATCTATTCTTTTGTACTTTTTATGGCGTGAAGCTTATTTGCCAAAATTGATTTGATACAAGGAGCGAAATCTATTCTTTTGTACTTTATATGGCGTGTTTTAGTTCTATTTTAATACATTTAGTATATTAATGATATTTATGTTATTACTGCTTCATAAGCTTTAAAAAGCAGTCGGAACATTCAAGTATCCGCCCTGATACGAGCAAACTTGTTAATTTATATCTTACAAGGTTCTGGCAGGATTTGCATTCCGAATCAGTAGCGGATTTAGGGAGGTGGGAGGGGGACGCCTTTTTCCTTCAGGGATTCGACCTCCTGCCGACCCAAAGGGTCCCCCCTTTGTATTACTTTGACATATCCATTTTAGCCGATTAACCTGAAAATTTGTCTAAGGGCGCCTTTGGCGCCAATATATACTAATTTTGAGGGGGGAGCGAGCGCCAAAAAACGCGACTTTTTGGTCGAAATTATTCCAAAATGCCTAAAACGCTTTTTTTTTTTGGCTTTTTTCAAAAATTTGCCTGCGGCGCAGAAAATTTGGTCAAATTAGGGTCTTTATAACGTTGGGGAGAACTTTGAAAATCAATTTGGTTGAATTAAAAAAAGTTCGACAAATTTTCTTTTTTTTTGAAAATCTCCCCCCGAGAAATTCCTAGATCCGCGCCTGTGACTGTTCCGAATTGAGATTAAAATTCTTGCAAAAGTTTGCCTTTCTTCGCAAAAACATTGCAAAATTTGCCTTCCAATTCCACTAGGCAATTTTCATTTTTTTTGAGTGGTTGAATAGCGATTGCATAATTAACGTTTTGCAATGCAATGCTTCTATTTCAGTCTTTAAAAGTTCTAACCAATGTTTCTCAACTCTGAGAGAAATTTCCAAACGTTTCCACTGCAGTTTGAATCACAAATATAGGTGCTAGAGACATCATATGACTGCTTTTGAAACACAAATCTTAGTGATACTTGGAATATGCGTGGCAAGGTTGGTTCAAAAGTATATCAATGAGTAGTTTTAGATAAAAGTACATCGTCTAATTGTCACGCTATCTATTTTTGGACGGATATGTTCGTGTAGTTACTTAGTCCGATGATACTTTTAGTTATTTTCTCATTTTCCGTATTTCTAAAACGTATCATAAATCACTGGTAGGCGCTGTTGGGTTGGTTTCATCTGTATTTCAGTCTATATTGAAAGTGGTCCTCCGATCAGTTAAGCTGCTCAAGATACAACGATTGTTTAGATTTTTTTAAAAGATTTTTGACACTTATTTGCCCGTCACTGAAAGTAGTTCATACGAGAAACGAACCGATTTATGAATACTAGGTTGTTTGTGTTTTGTTTTGGATCCTGTGTTCTGCCTAATTTGTTCATTTTTTTTTCCAGAACGGACTTCTTGAAAAATAACTTAGCGAATAAACTAAATTGGTTAAAAACGAAATGTTTTTGAGGAATTCATTTCTAAAAGCGTTTATTTTGGTGATTAACAGCATAGAAATGCAATCTAATAAAAATGACTTAGTGAGAAAATTGAATTTTAACAAAATTTTACCCTGAACTTGTATTTACTTAGAAGGTTACTTTGGGGAAAGTACGAATGATCCCTAGGAGCCTGTTTGGATGTAACTACTAATGGCTTTATCGACCTATAACAATCAGATTTCAGACATTTTAAGAGAAAAGAAATCATAATAGCACAAAATTTGTAACAGAATCTTCTTGTTACTGAGAAAATATTTTACGAACTATAAACACGGATTGGATCACAACTGATTGAATCAGGACTGGTGAATTTTCTCTCTGCTGGTTGAATCACGATCGATTGAATCAAATGAACTCAGTTTTGTTTCTTAACTTTTGCTCGCTTACCTACCATGTTTTTGCACAAGTGCGTTATTTGTTGTTTTGTACTTTCTTATCAATTTGTAAGGGCGTTTCAAATAGGTTAATTCAAAATAATTAAAATTATTGTCATTGAGGAAGTAAAACTGACAATATTTTGGATGACACCAATTTCAAACAGTTAGTTTTCTTAAAGTCATTTCATCTATGACAGTTTTTGGAGCATTTCGATTCGTCCACACAATTAAAAGTTCAGGAAAAAATCTGCCTCGACCTACAAATACACCAACGGATACGGATTTTTTTTTATGTCTGATTATTCTCATCATCCCACTGTCGGTCCTTAAACATAGCAACTGACCATTTCTTCGTGTTCAGCGCTTCAAAAAAATCAACTTCTTAGTGGGTTCCCACAGGTCGCGCTTCAATTCGGTATAGATCAAAAAACAAAACGGTCGGAAGTGGCAGTAAAAATGGTAAATGGTTTCAATAAACAAAAAAGACTTTAAAAAATTTATAGGATGCATAATTCAATCCTACCTGTGAAGTAAAACTCAAATCCATTGATTTTAAAAAGTCTTCTTTGTTCGTGAACACCATTTATCATACTAACTGCCACTCCGGACCATTTAAATTAAAATAAAATTTGAAATAAAAGGGCCGAGGTGCCCAAGATATCCCTGAGAACACCTCTGAAAACAAGACATTGAAGGTAAAGGTACAGTAAAGAAAAGGAAACCAAAGAAAGAAAGAATTTATTAGTATTATTATTATTTTCGGCCTCACTTGTTATGATTATTTTCGGCCTCACTTATTATGATTATTTTCGGCCTAAATTCCATCGGCTAAATGGCTGCTACCCTGGACAGATGATGACTCAACCTAGTTAATACTAATGACAAGACGTTTATTATCATGTTTCTGCATTTTGAAGCATTTTTGAGGTCGCATTATTTGAAGATTTTATTTTCTAAAAATTGTTTAAAAAATCGAAAAAATTGCAAAAAAATGGTACCAACTAAAATCACATAGAACACATTAATTCAAAACAAAATGAAGCGAATCTTTTTACTGAGTGCGGGACCTCATGAGACCAGGTCGAATATTTCGGGCAAGACTAGAAAAACAGACGATGTTCAATAATTCAACATGCATTGAAGAACGACACAAGATAACTGCAGGAAAAACGATATTTCAGAAAAGCCGCATGAACCAGTGTTTAAACGGCGCACCGACAATTCGGCCAAAGACAGTTCAACCAATTGGAAATTCAGACAATTCAGCCAGAAATATACAAACAATTCAGCCTGGGACATTTCAGCCAGTTTTACAAAACGCTAGATTCGAAAGAAAAAAATCGGAATTTGAGTTTTTTTCTCGGTTTAAGGTCGCTGGTGGGCGCGCTACGAGCGCGTCGCCGCTTTGCGACAATGTCCGGCTCACATTTCGTAGAGAGTCCTACACTCTGTTGGCAAGCTCGCAACACGTTGGCGCGACTGCGGCGGTCACTATTATTGACTGAATTGTCTTTGGCTAAATTTTCTGCATACTTTTGGCTGAATTGTCAGAATTTCAAATCGGCTGAATTGTCTTTGGCCGAATTGTCTGAACGCGGTTTAAACCTAAATTTCATGCGTAGAAAAAAAAACGTGGAAATTGCAAACTGTTGCCTTCTAATTTTTTCTTCCAGTAGTCATTAAAAAAAATTTTCAAAGGGGAATGTTATATGACTTAAAATCAGTCTAAGCGATTGCAACCTATGTTAATTTGACCACCTGTCAATCCTTTTAGCGCTATTTGCGTACCGTTTTAGATCTCATTGAGTGTTGAAACCATTTATTCGATTCAACACATTCAATTATGATTGCGTATGATTGTGTAACAAAGTGTTATTGTTCCGACTTTTGTAACGAAAGTAACCGAATATTTATGCTCGTGGTGGGTTTTTTCTTCAGACAAAATTTGAATTTTTAACTAGCCATTTTTGACGATTTTTTTATCATTCAAAAAGTATTGTTGTCCTGAGCTTAAATTTGAAAAAAATTTTCACCTGTGATCATTTTTTGCAAAGTTATGGGGGTTTAAAGATTGCCATTAAGCGCGGAGAATTAATTCGTCTTAGAAATCGTTCCAAATTGGTTAAAGGAAGCTTTTTTCCAAAATGATTTGTTAATGGGAGCGAAATCTATCACTTTGTACTTTATATGGCGTGTGGGGGGATGATTTTCACAAAAACCTCATTTAAATTTTTTTTTTATATTACATTTAATTTGTTTCATGTTATTGCTGCGCAATAAAACTTAAAAGGCAGTCAGAACATTCAGGGCTTCCACCTGATACGAGCAGTCTTCTTTTTTCTGTAAATAATCATTTCGTTTTGTCTTTTTATTATTTTTAGCGAAAGTTCATAATAAGTTTTTATAAACTACATATATAATACAGGGTTTTTGCAAAAACTGTAAAGAATTTTTCTTTTTTAGGCTAAAATTGATAAAGGCTGATGAGCGTTCAATTTTACAGCCTACAAGCTCAATCCTAAAGCAATTTCAATTTTATTTCAGCTAATGAAACTACTCATTCATTTTTCACCTCATTCATTTGCGCCTTCTAGAAGAAACATTGGACGAATTTGAAAAGTAAATTGAATTTTGTTTCATTTTTACAGTTAATCTTAATTTTTCTTCCGTCGGCGTTTTCAGAACATTCTGTGCAGTTCGAACAGCAAGCAGCCAGGGGCGGATTTAGGGGGGTCTTGAGATTCGACCCCCTGCAACCCAAAGGGTCCCCCTTTTTTTTTTTTACTATTTTGAGATATCCATTTTTGGCTGACGGAACCTAAAACTTTTCTAAAGACGCCTCTGGTGCCAATATACACTATTTTTTATGGGGGGTTGCGCGCGCCAAAAAACGCAATTTTTCTAAAAAGTGCCTTAAAACGCTATTTATGGCCTGTTTTTTTTCAAAACTATGCCTGCGGCGCTGAAATTTTGGGCCGAAACAGAGTCTTTTTAGTGCTTTGGGGGAGTTCGGAAAATCATTTTGGTCGACCCCGAGAAAATTTTCGATTTTTTTTTGAAAATCCCCCCCTGGAGAAAATCCCAGATCTGCCCCTGCAACCGGCTATGCCTTTTTTGTAAAGAATGTTTTGATGGCCATATTGATTTTAGTGTCTTCACCAGTAGCGGATGGGGGGGGGGCGGGGAGAACGGATGCTCTTTCTCTCACCCCTCAGGGATTCGACTTCGACCCCCTTAAGACCCAAAGGGTTCCCCCTTTGTACTATTTGGAGATATCCAATTTTGGCTGACTGACCTCTTAAAAATTTTCTAAAGGCGCCTGTGGCGCCAATGTACACTGACTGTGAGAGGGGAGCGCGCGCCGAAAAAACGCGATTTTTTAGTCGAAATTTTCCAGCCTTTTTTGGCCTTTTTTTCAAAAATTTGGCTGCGGCGCAGAAAACTTTGTCAAGTTAGGGTCTTTATAGTGGTTTGTGAGAGCTCAAAAAATCAGTTTGGTGGCCTTAAAAAAGTCGACAACAATCTGACCCCCCCCCTCGAGAATTTTCTAGATCCGTGCTTGGTCTTCACTACATCGTTTTGGTCTTCACTCAGATTATACCAAGCCATAGTTAAAATCAATTTCCTTCGCTAGACTTTTTATTTAATTTGGCAAAAAAATGATTACAATTTCCTTCATAAGCCTTGAGTTGCAAACATAAAAGTCAAAAGTTGCAGTTTTTCTTGCAAAAGAGAAAACAAACGAATAGTCTCTTCACGTTTTGTCGTTTTCTAAGCTACTATATTGTAGAAAGAGTTGAAGTTTTAACACATGAAAGTTGAAATAGTTTAAAAAGATGTGGTGGGACAAAAGCCATCTTTTTTGATGTCGAGAAAATGGCCCATTTTTTGTTTGTGTTTCAAAGTAAACATAACAATAAGGCTTCTCGCATTACGGTGCGATACCTTGAATAGTCGTGCTAGCTTTTTATGCCTTAAAAGTAGTTTTTGATTAGAAAAATAAATGAAGTATTAAGTTTTTCTTCAGATAATTTTTAAAAAAAACATCCCTCACACAATATGTTGAATACAAACTGATATTTTTGCCGTCTAATTTCTCATCAATTGAACAAAAAACTGTACCTAATTTCATTTTTATATAAAAATAAGCCAGATTAACTTGCCGGTCACGTTTTTTTGTGAACGAAATCAATTTTAAGTTTTGAGTTCAAAGTCTCGAGGTTTTTCAGATGGTTAAAACCAAATCCGTCCAATACGGCTCAGTTGCGAAAAAAATCACGCCGAGTACAAATATTTCGCCATCTTTTTTGCAGTTCGGTACAAAAAAGCAAACGAACAAACAACGGTACACATCTTAGATGCACTTGCAGTATTAATGACTTGGCGCTCATTTAGAGACAGAGATCAGATGGTTTACCCAAGAGCGCAATCTGCCGAAAATGAAAAAATCGAAAACTTCGAAGTCACTTGGAATTAGATAAACACTTAGAACAATGTACGCTATTTATTAAACCCAAATTCAAAGTAAAAATCATGCCTTAAGCAATGTAATCCATAAACTTGAAATACATTGCATAAGTTTTATAGCCCGGAACTAATTATGTAAGTTATTGTTTAATCCGAGGCTGGGCTGAAAAATACATGATGTTTAATTACCCAAGCGGTCTGTGTTAATCAAATGGAGTGAACATTTTGATTTTATAAGAAAAAATTGGCTCGAAGTTTTGTTGAAAGCCGTAGAAATCTGATATGTAACAAACCTAACTCTTTGAACCCAGTTAATACTCGGGCACTTGTGGTGTGTTTCAGTGTTCACGTGTCGGTGGAAGGCAAGTTCATCCACAAGATAGACGAGTTCTCCTTCCTCGACTCGCCCGAGTGGGAGTCCTACTCGGAAGAATTCCCCGAGCACTTCCAGGTAAATAACTCCACGAAGAATGTTGATTAACTGACTGTCAAAAGTAGGGTAGCGGAAGAGCTGAGATTTTTGAGAGAAACAATCAGGGGGTGGATCTAGGATTTTCTCGAGGGAGGGGGCGGGTTTTCGAACAAATTTTTGATATTCTGAGCTCACTCAAAGCAGTAAACAGACCATGTTGAACCAAAGTTTCTGCGCTGCAGGCAAACTTTTGGAAAAGCAGGTCAAAAATGCCGTTTTTAGGTGTAGAGTTGGTGATTCTACTGTATTACATGCTATAGTAACCTGAGCGTAAGATTGATTCGTCATTAAGTTAAGTAGTGCAGCAAACAAAGGGTAAAGTTCAAAATGGTTGAATCTTCAAAGATATAGTCCCTCCTATGGCAGAAAACTCAGGTGAAGTAAGATTTGCAAACCCTTCCAAATGACTAAAGCGGCTAGGTTTATGAACTCATAGGACGGATACTAGAGATGATTTGACCCGGGCATGCAAAAATCTATAACCCTCAGATCCCCCGGCCCCAAGTGATAACGGTTCCCGGAAGTACAAATGGCCCTGTCAGAACACGGTAACTAGCGGTCGGAATGGAACCAAAATATAGTATGTTATTGACCTAGCTGAGGAAAGCTTAAGTTCAGAAAACCAGACCCCTTGGACCCCTACTTCCCATTGAATTCACTACCCATGGGACGACTTTGCGGTGTCGTTAGGAAAGAGAGAACAAACATAGAGAAGAAATCCCCTAAACCTACATTGGCGCTCCTGGGTGGGCAAATTCTGAATTGCAGTTGCACAGTGTATGTTGCTAATTGACGACACGGGTATAATACGATATGGAAGAACAGGACAGGCGGCTGATTGCTGAAGCGGTAGTTGCACCAGCGAACGCGCTGGACAAGCAAAAAGGCGTATTTGGATTCGCGACAATACGGTCGGATCGTTTTCCTTCCTGTAGCTATCAGAACTGGCAGACTGGAGGAAGCACTTCGCTTGGATCGCAGACGCCAACCGCTGGGAGGACGAGCAGGCCAGGATGGTCCTGCCAACATGTTTCACGAGCTGGGCTTTGGACGAATTTACAAGTATGCCTGCCCACTTTCGAGAAGAGATCGAGGGCTACGACGAGCCAACGTTAGCTAGGATGCTAGCCGAGCTCGATCAACGACTGATGCCATTCCAGAGTCGCACGGCAGCCAGAGCTGAGTTCAAGAGCCTGATGCAAGGAGAGAAGGAAGGCTTGCGAGAGTTCTCGAGGCGAGTCAGGTCGCTAGGTGACGTGGCAAACAGAAACATGGATGAACAAGCGAGAGACGACATGAACTGTGAGCAGTTCATAGACGGCATCTACGATGAAGAAGTGCAGGAGCTACTTCTACGAGAGGAATTTGAAAGTTTCAGTCAGACGATAACACGAGCTCAGTAATTTGAACTGGCGAAAAGGACTGCCAGAGCGAGAAGCGGGAGACGGCCAAACCATATTCGAGAGCTGCAAAACACAGACGGGTACTGATCAGAGACTGGACGAACTTGCGTCGCAGATCGAGATGCAGAACTCAAGGCATGATGAGTTGATGACAGCGATGCGGACGACCACCGACCAACGACTGGATCAGGTGGCTTTGCAGATGCAGGATATGATGACTATGATCGGCAGGTTGGGTAATTCAGTAATTCCCGCTCCCCACCCTAAAAATCTGCCGGGGCAGGAACCAACGCGAAGGCCCAGGCAGCCGACTGGTCCGGACTCGAATGGGAATCGACAGATCAACGCGAGCCATGGAGGGGACCGTCTATGTTGTTTCGAATGCGGTCAGTTGGGTCAGTTTGCAAAAGAGTGTCCCAGAAAGGCTTCGTTTCATTTAAACTATCGAGGGTCGGGGCAATGAGCGAGAGCGAGCTCAAAGGAAGTTTTGTCCTGGCCGACATACAGAGGCTACAAGTATCGAAGCGAGACCAACTGACATACGCTTTGAGTAGACGAAGCCACAACGAGTGGCCGAAACGAGATGCAGTGAAAGACAGTAATACACTGTGGGAACAGGAACAAGTTCTGTCGATTTTGGAACGAATACCTCGGGGCACAGAGGTCTCTACCGGGCGAGAAACGAGAGAACAACCTCAAGCACATGTCGAGCGAGTTGGAATTAGTCACGATATATACGGACCCCGTGGAGTAGTCGTAGATGCTTGCATAAGGAGAACCCAAGTCGAGGCCTTGCTAGATACGGGGGCCACGACTGACCTCATTCGGACAGATGTAGCTCGAGATCTCTTATACTCGTCTGAAATTGAGCCATATCGGGGCAGACTAGAGATAGCAGATGGACAGGAAACGAAGGTGGATGGATGTATCACCGCCCATCTGAAATTGGAGGCCGTTGATAAAGATCTTGATATGCTAGTTGTTCTGGAACTGAAAGCAGAGATGGTTTTCGGACTTCGATCGCTGAAAGAAAATCGGTGCTCATTGATGTTCAGCCACGCTGAAAATTTCCTGTGGACGGGAGTGATAGAGGGTTGCATGGTTCCCATACGTTAGCTGCCACCCAATGCATCCCCGAAGCGGATGCTATCGATCCCCGTGATCCAGGAGGGAAGAGTGAAGGAGAAGGCTATTCGAGTAACGAGATGAAGAAGCGGTTGATAGCGAAGATAGCAGCTGCTGTCAAGCAATCCGATGATTTCCTATCCGATAAAGAGGGATGGCCAGCTAGTTTTGATGATCACTCAGCGGGAGCGTTTTGCGAAAACATGGACGATGACGAAATTGCAGGTTGTCACAAAGCAATTTCGTGCAGACCTACGGATCGGAGGTAATTGCAAGTGTCAACGAGACAGCGACGAATGAAGACGACGATAGCGAGTCGATTCGTTGGAAAATAACGCCAGGCGGAATTGCGAAGACGCAGAGAGAAGATGAAGCGATTGCTCAAGTATTCTACTGGGCGGGACTATGCGATGAGACAATTGATTTGCCGTCACTAGGAACGAACATCATTCCGAAGGCGCAGGCCATACAGTATGGACCTGAAACACTGGCCTACTGGTCAAGATGGGATGAGTTGAGTTTTAAAGAGGGAATACTCTACAAGAAGTGGTTTCAGCGAGATGACTCCAGGTCAATCCTTCTGACAATAGTTCCTGTGGCGGGACGGAAGGAAATTCTTAGCCAGTTCGATTTGATGGAGACTGGCGGAGGACAGCTTGCAGCCGATTACGACGAAGATATTGGTGGCCGACGATGAGAACGGATATTGAAAGAAAAGTCCAGTGGTGTCTAAGTCAATCAGTTCATATGTCAGAAATGAAGACGACGAAGCAAAACGTGTGCTTGTTTTGACGGATCTTTTCACGATGTACACAATTGCAGTTCCTCTGGTGTCAACGAATTTTGCTGACGTGGCTCGTGAGATAGTGGAGAATTGGGTGCTGAAATTTGTAGCTCCCAATGTGCTACATACAGATCAAGGAAAAAGTTTTGGTGGCCAATTGATCCAAGAGATGTGCCGATTTTTGGGTATTGACAAAACTCAGACTTCTCCCTATAAGTCGAAGGGCAATGGACAGACGGATAAACACAACGCGAAGATGGCTGATGTCATTTTGAAATTTTGCGCTGAGAACCCAAGGAATTGGGCCAGGACGTTGCCGTACTTGAACTTTGTGTACAACACGACAGTGAATCGGAAAACGGAAGCTACGCCGTTCAGTATGGTGCATGGAGAGGAGTGCAAATATCCAGTTGATCTGTTGTACACAAAACCTCATGACGAACTGATGATGAAGGATGGTTTTGCCGAATGGCTAGACGAACAGTTCCGAGACGCAAACAGCAGAGCAAGAGAACTACTCGGGACAGACCAGCGTCGACAAAAAAGCTATCACTGGAAGAAAATTCACCGGGAACTCTATGCGAGTGATGACAAAGTCTGGGCGTGGTCACAAGAGACAAGTAAGTCAAAGAAGTCTTTTGACCTGTGGGAAGGACCATATGCTGTGATGGCCAGGCTTTCCACAGTCAGGTACAAGTTGTCAAAGGTGTCCAATCCGAGTAAGGTGAAGTTTCTGCATTTTTACATGTTGAAACGTTATGATGAGGAGACCCTGCAACCAGAGGAAGCTACTGCAAGGGAGCGACCGACACCATATCGGTCTGCGAACTTCTTCGAGGATCTGGAAATGCGCATCGAAGACGAGGCAATTTGGGCAAACAATCGCGAGGAATTCAACCATAAACCAGGCCCAAGGCAAGAGCCCGTGGGAATAATGTCGCACAGAAATCGAGCAGCGGTGGAGCCACTAGTTAACCCTCTTGGGAGAAACGGAGGCTTGCGACGACAGAGCGACGCGGTGGAGACAAACGACGCAACGAAGATTGAAGCCAGAAGAGAAGAAGAGCCTGCGAAGCTGAAGGTAGACCTCCGGGTGAGCCGGTGATGGTTAATCCTGTGATGGAAAGTGGAACCACAGATGTGGGTAGACCAGTTCGATTAAGAAGGCCTCCAGTTAGGTTTCGAATCGATGAATTTGTGAGTTAACACGAGTTTTTCGGAAACTGTCAGCCAGCTCATTGGTGCTTGTTTAATAACTTAGAGCGATCCCACCTCAGAGTATTGCTGAACATTGCGTTATTGTTGAATATCAGGTGCTTTTACAAAAGAGGTTGCGTCGCACTGTGAGGAGTAAATTTATTAGCAGTCACGTCCCCTAGTTAGGATTTCTGTAACAAATAGTGCTTACTATCGAATCTGATTATTCATATGGGGACTGACTGAAGGGTCCGCGATTTTGTTTAAGAAAGTTTAACTCGGAAATTAGGAAGGGTTATTATAAAATTAGGCATTAGAGAAGGTTTATCTAGATTGATAGAGAGACGGTAACTTGAATTTTTGTCAATCGCATTATTCGGCAGAAAAATAGACTAGAAGGGAAGACTAGAATTGGTAATTCTACTGTATTACATGCTATAGTAAACTTAGCGTAAGATTGATCCGTCATTAAGTTAAGTAGTGCAGCAAATAAAAGGTAAAGTTCAAAATGGTTGAATCTTCAAAGATATAGTCCCTCCTATGGCAGAAAACTCAGGTGAAGTAAGATTTGCAAACCCCCCCCCCCCAAATGGCTACAGCCGCTAGGTTTATGAAACTCATAGGACGGATACTAGAGATGATTTGACCCTGGCATGCAAAAATCCATAACCCTTGGATCCCCCGGCCCCAAGTGATAACGGTTTCCGGAAGTGCAAATGGTCCTATCAGAACACGGTAACTAGCGGTCGGAATGGAACCAAAATATTGTATGTTATAGACCTAGTTGATGGAAGCTTAAGTTCAGAAAACCAGACCCCTTGGACCCCTACTTCCGGTTTTATGCCCTATGCAAATAGAACCCACCCCGACTTCCGGGAGTCCTTCCTCGGAACCCATTGAACGCAGGAAGCTAAAACTTTGGGATAGCATAGGTAGTGGCAAGATACATATTGTGTTATAAATTGAACCAAATCCAGCTGTTGAACCGGAAGTTATTAGCACTTTGGAAAACCACCCCTTAAACCGGAAGTAGGCAATTTACGCAAAAATAATGAGCAAGGGCATATCGATTTTATGGCGGCATGAGATACTACAACTCATCCCCGAAAAAAGACCCCTAGTGGTTGAAACCCCTCCGGCGACTCCTTCCGGTGTTAATTGCCTTTCCCCGGGAAAAGTGATAATGGACCCTAGAAATGGGATAACTTTGGAATTATCAAAGGAATATGGATGAAACTTGGTAGTTAGGACCCCCATGGGATTCTGAACACGAATATGGAAGTTCGACCCCGGTTGACCCCTGGGTGACCTTAAGTTGACCTTTGGGCTTTTTGACCCCAAATTGCATGGAAAGCCCCAATATTAACACCGGAAAGTGGCATATTTCCCAACCCAACCCCTGGAAATGAGCATGGGTCACCTTGCTAAAATTGGGGGGAAAACTTATATATTGGGAACTAGAGCAGAAGCTGATAGAGATATAGCTTTTTACATTGCGAACTTGGAGTAGAGGATTTAATTTAAAGTGGACTTGGTAAACATTGGGTTCAATTTAGCTTGGCGAACGCGCTATTTATAGAATATCAATTAGGGTAAAAGAAAAGTAGTCCCAGAGGAAATTGGTAGTAATAGAGGCATAGCATGAGAGTTAAGTTTCCTAATTAGTCTGAATGGACGGGGATTTTACTTGGCTTACCGGAGGTGACTTTCTGGTTTGATTTGACCCCTAATAGACGAACTACGTTCCCCTGATAGCTAGAAGGTCGGGATTGGAATAGAGTACAGATAGAAAATTTAGATGGCTGAAATTGGTAAGCTACCCATGAAAAGGGCCTCCCCCTACCCTTGGGAGGTCGGAACGTTAACGGGATAATTAAAATAAAGACCTTGGGAATAAAGACTGAGTAAACATGGCTTGGTTTGCAGGTTGAGTTTAACTCGAGAGCTGAAGTTCACCGAGTTCAGGAATTGGTTGATTAGAATCGAATGAAATTTGTTTGCTTGGTAAAATTGTGACAGCTACCGCATACCGGGTATCTAATAAGCGTGAAAAGATTGATAAAAGAAACCGAAGTTGGCACGTGGCAGAGTTGATAAGGGGAGAGATATAGTCTTAAACATGTGCGGTCGGGTGAGTTAGGCGGATGTCAGGACTGATAGCGAATGGCGTGACTTAACTAAAACTAAGTCTAAAGAAAGATAAGGAATTGGAGGGTATCGGAGAACCTTTAAGAGTCACAACAGTGTTAGCTACTATTAAGGGTAGTTGGTTCTCGTCGGAGAAGAGAGCAATTGATACTGAGAGAGAGCATAGTTGGTTCTCCGTTAGTTAGAGAGAACAATTATTGCTAGTTTGTCAGGTAATTGGTTCTCGGAGTAAGAGACCAGTAGATAGTTAGTTCTCATCAGAGGTTCTCTAGAGAGAGAATAGTTAGTGTTAAAGGAGTTAGTTGGAAGTTAATTGCAATTAGGCAATTTGGCCGATAAATCGCGGACCCTTTCCTTTTGATTTGATTATTAGATTACATCCTGGCCACTCAGAGCCTTCTGTAATTGGACATATAATCATCTAAATTAATTTATCATTGGAAACTCTTGCGATTGTATTGAGTAGACGAGACAAGACAGCCGAAGAGCAATACACAGAGGGGCAAGCAACATAATACAAAACAGAATTGTTGCCACCAAAATAACCCTTTCGGGATTGTAGATAGTAGTGAATCTCGGTCGCCCCATTGAATTCACTGCCCAAGTGACGACTTTGCGGTGTCGTTAGGAAAGAGAGAACGAACCTAGTGAAGAAATCCCCTAAATCTACATTAGGCACCATTTAGAAAAAAAAATTCGACCAAAAAAAATTAGTATACGTTGGCGCCGAAGGTGTCTTTAGAAAAACTTTAGGGTCCGTCACCAAAAATAGACATCCCAAAATAGTACAAAAGGGCGACCCTTTGGGTCGGCAGGGGGTTGAATCCCTGAGGGAAGGAAGGCGACCACACCCGCCCTAAATCCGCCCCTGGAAACAATATTAAGTTGTCCATATTTTGTCGGCACTCTGATTAGGCCACTCTAATTTGGTCGGTTTTTGATGCAAAAAAAATGCTGCAAAAAAATTTTGAATTTAAAATACAATGAAAATGAACACATAAAATTCACTTATTTTTCCAAATGCAATTCATTGTCCACAAAAAATCTATTTCGGGGTTGATTGCAGCTTACAACCGAATTTAAACTCACGTTCTATTTCATTAAAATCCGTTATAATCAATTTTTATCCTTTTCTGTCATTGCGAGTTTTCAATTTGCCGGTCTATTTGAAAAATAAAGAGCTTCGATTTAATGTTCCATTAGGTAGCTAGCCAAGATATTATAGAACTTTTATAAACTTTTGAATCAATTGTTGGTTTAGGTGACCTTAACTGCCATCAGACACAGTACATACATTAGCTGGCCTCGAAAAGTACTGGAGGCAATTCTATGCGACAATCCTTATCTGAACTCGACAATGACAAACCTAATAGGAAGAGACATCACAAACAAACTCTACCTTCTGAACCAGCAGGCCACCCGATCATCGTCAGTACAGAGCCAAAAACACTCGGCGAAAGAATTACGAACTATTTGGAGTGACGAGTCCAAGAGGAATTACTCGGGGAGCGTGGGCGGGCTGAAAAAACCCGAGACTGGTAGTTTGACTGCATTGCGTGAAATGCGAAGTACAGAACGTCAAAATACATTCGGAGATTCAAGTAAGTTAAGTTTTTCTTAGATCTCCCGTTTCCGCTACCATCGCTTTGTATAATACAAAATATTCGGCTCAACTGTCCAATCAAAACGTTTTGCTGAGAATCTACAAAAATTATTTCGAACATATTTTATTTATAATAAAACTTAACCTAGAGAATTCAAGGGTAAAAAACAGCGTTTTGTCTGATGGGGATGAAGAAGTTGAATATATTGTGAACATGTTAGGCTGTGTGATTTGATAGAGTTCGTTTTTTTTTTCAGCTAAATTAGTGCCCTTTGGGGGTAAACCAAACTGTAAACAAGCCGCCGATAATTGAATTCAGGCAACGCTCAAGCTAATTTACTTTGAAAAATTTGGTTTGAGAGCAAAACGGTTTGTTTAATTTATTCAGTTCCCTGAATGACTTCCGAAAGCCGTCATAAACAATTTAATGAGATTAATAAAACTAATATGATTTTTATTCCCAAGGCACGGGTATCTCTACTGCTCCTGTGTAAACCATCTAGCATATAAATTAACCAAAAACATATAAAGTTTCATAAATAGCATACATTTGTACTCAAGTTGAGTTTTCCAGGCACTGCTAAGAGCCGCTGATTTTTCGAAAAAAAATTAATTGATCGAATGTAGTGAAAACATTTATCCTTAGTCGAAAACAGTCAAGGCGCCAAATGATCAAATTATTTATGAGTTTCAGATATACTTCGTGACAAACTTAATGGAAAATTTAGATAGCAGGAAGCATTTCACTAAATTTTCTAAAGTGATCTCAAATAGCTAATTTTTTTTAGCTAATTTGCATTTTTTTTAGCTTATCATCATTATGTTCAACAAAATATGCACAAAATTTTTTTTACTGAATAGCCAATAATGAAAAAATAGAATATGCCCCTGCAGCAATTTGTGGAAAGCAAGGACAATGTACGACAATTTTCTTAACTCAATTGATTTTTAATTTATTAATACTGCTCGTATCAGTGCAAAATACTAAAAACTCTAACTAAACTGTTTTTTTTTCTCACGATTGTCTGATTTATAGCTTTGGAGTTCCTTTTTGAACGCTTACATATTTCTCAAATATGTAACTTAAAGTTTTGTGTTCCAGTTTTTTCAATAAACAGAGCCCGTAAGCACCTTTGAAAATGCCTTGTAACCATTGGAAAAAGATACAAAAGCTGAAATTTAGTCCTTAATAAAAGTTTGAAAGTTGGAACTTTTTTGTGCTGCATTTTTATTTTTTTTCTACAGAATTTTCATTGCATGAACTATTCTCGAGCCTTGCTGTCTCTAAAATAGATCACAGGAAAATTAATTTGACTCCGAAACAAGTGAGAAATATATATAATCTTGGAGTGATTTATTTTAGTCAGACCAATTTCGAAACACATTTTTGCCCACAGTAGAGTTTTAACCCTGCGCACACCAACTTGCTGGTCACTTTGAAACGAGTCTATGAGAACTGCTCGTTTTAAACAATGATACTGAAAGTTTAGCGCATATCATTCACGCGTGATGAATTATCCCGCACTTTGAAATTGTTTCAAATTTAATTGAGGCCAGCTAATTAGAATTTTCCTTTTAAAATATGACTCCAATTTTAACACTCATTGAAATTATCAGTCCAAGTATCAGCTTGTGCCCTGATTTGAACAGTTTGGTTTGCTATTATGAACAATTTCAATTTTACAAACAGAGCATGAAGTAAAACAAGACTGCTCGTATCAGGGCAAAACCCTGAATGTTCCGACTGCCTCTTAAGGTCTATGAAGCAGTAATATCTTGAAAAAGTTATATGTAAAAAAAAGAAACTGAAATGAAAAAAATTTTGTATAAAAAATAGAGATTTTTTTGTAAAAATCATCCCCCCACACGCCATATAAAGTACAAAGTGATGAATTTTGCTTCCATTGACACATCAATTATGGCAAATAAGCTTCTTTCAACCAAATTGGAACAATTTTTAAGACGGATTGAATCTCCGCTTACGTGTTAATAGCGCCAATTATATCGCGCGTTAATTGTCCCAAATTGGCCAAAATGGCAATCTTCAAACCCCCATAACTTAACATAAAATTATTACAGGTGAAATATCTTCTCAAATTTAAGCTCAGGACAAGAATACCTTTTGAATAATATTTTAAAAATTCCGTCAAAAAAGGCTAGTTAAAAAGTCGAAATTTGTATGAAGAAAAAAACCCACCCCGAGCACAAATATACCGTTACTTTCGTATCGAAAGTCGGAACAATAAATCGTATATAAAAATTGGAGGTTTAGCAGCCATGCTAACCATTTTTTTTGTTTAACCAAAATTAATGCACAAATTTCATTTAATTCGTTTTTGAAAATATAGTAAAATTAATGAAACCTTTTTTTTAAGTCTATGTAAAACAGTATCTGAGAAATAATCAAATTATATGCAAGTATATTTCACATACTTAGCATAGTTGACACAATTGTGTCTGAAATTAGGCTGAAAAAAAAATCAAACTCGTTATTACCCAAGTGTATTTTAATCGAATAAAATTGTCTTTGAGCTCAATTATTTCGCTTTTTTCTCAAAAATTGGACCAAAAACATATCAAAAAAGGAATTTGACTTCAAATTTTTTTTTGAAAATTATCATCAAAAATTGGTTGCATAAGACGTAAAATTTCTGAAAGTTGCATTCATTCAAAAGTGAAATGATCTAACTACTCTTTTTGGATGCGTTTTTTAACAGAGTATTCAAAGGGCTGAAAACTTGAGTTCTCAAAAATGGGTCCTTCAAAGCGGCTGCGTTCAGTGCGCCACGAAATATTTGTGCTCGAGTTGGTTTTTTCTCCAGATGAGTTTAGACTCTTTAGCTAGCCATTTTGACGGAATTATGTAAAGTTAGCCAAAAATTAATTGATGGCTTGAGCTCAATTGTGAAAAGATGTGATCTTTACTTGTGATCTTTTCAATGTTATGGTGGTTTAAAGATTGCCAATTTGGTATAATTAAGACTCGACATATTTCGTGGTATTGTCGCGAAAGCAGTGATTCATTTCGTCTTAGAAATCGTTCCAAATTTAATTGAGGCATGCTCTTAGATCTATGTAAAATTTTGCTTTATGCTAAATAGATCATTGTGTTTTTCCCACCCACATTTCATGTGGGTTGGTAATTATTACATAAAAAAAATCCTGAAAAAAATTATTTTAAAGCGAACAATACCCCTTAGAACTTAATGGGCAGTCGGAGCATTCAGGGTTTTTTCCTGATAGGAATCAATAAGTTTTTTTTTTAAAATGAGGTTGCTAAAAAAACCTCTTTATTAGCAACGTAGATTTTTCACAAGCCTCCATAAAAAAGTTACGACGTTAATAAAAGTTTTTTTAGCAACCTCATTTTAAAAAAAAAACTTATTGATCCTCAGGCTTGTTGTTTTCAAGTTGCTTAGTTTTTCAAGGTTTTGGAATTTTGTTGCTTATTAGTTGCTTACAAGTAGCATTTCAAGTTGTTCAGAAATAAACAATTGTTTTTTCCTGATTATGATATTGATCACAGTATTATTTATTTTAAGCCGAAAATTTATAAGCATACACAGTTTAGTTTGGCTAGGGAGAATACCAAAAAGGCTTCAGCCTGTCGGGTGGCAGCTCCATATGCAATTTTCATTTTCCCCTCTTTATTAATTCAGATAATCCCAAAAAAAACTTTAAAAATACAGCATATTTTATTTCAAAATAGAAGAAACCTGAGAATCAAAGCAAAATTCGTTTTTTTCCGTTGTTGGTTAACGATCAAATTAATTTTAAACAAAGTAGTGGTCACTTACCAAAATTGCCTATAATTTTTTTGATGTAAATTAACCAAAGAGTTTAAACAAAGTAGTGGACACCTACCAAAATTGCTTATAATTTGTTTGTTGTAACAAATTTAAATGTCTTTTTTTATGAAAAAAAAATCGAGTACAAAAATTTATGAGTAATTGCTAACGCTTCAAGAAGAATACTTTTGTTCAATTCTAAAAACCTATTATATAAAAGATGAACTCTATTTTTGATTTCTTTCTTTGCTTTTGTAGCTAAATTTTTTCGGCTGCTTAATTTTTTCCTAGTTTACTTGAAAGAAAAACAGTTGTTTTCTCCAGTTTACTTAAGTATTCATAAAAATTTTTCCCACAAATCATCTTAGATTTTTAAACTTGAGGTTAAAAAAAATTATATACGGGAATTTCTCGAACCAGACAGATTTTTTGTTAGTCCCGAGTGTTTCAGTTTGTCCCATGTTTTGATTTAAAACAATTCTTCTACACAAATCATTGCTGGCTTCCTATTTTTTTCAAGTCTCTTTCATATCTGGGCCATATGTCAGGACACTATGTTGATAAATTAGCTGAAAATTGTTTTTTTTTGTGACGAGCAGAGTAGAGATGCCAAGAAAAACATGAGATAAAATATCATCTTAAACTAGCTGCCCTTCTCAAATTTTAAGGTTCAATTTTTTGTCAATTGCTAAGTTTAAGTAATTATAGTTTATTACTTAATTATAGAGCTTTAGTTGTAACTTTTTGTTAAATTCTAAAGTTACTAATTCACCCTTATTTACAGTGAGCTTACCCTACAGAACTCAGTTTTCAAGCTTGCTTATTTCAATGTCAGATTGCTGTCACACTTCCAGTATTAGCTTTTGTATACCATGCATGGCCATCCGCAAACACTACTACCGTATTCTGTCTACAGACTTTTGGCAAGTCATTTATGTTTAGCAAAAATAACAGCGAATGCAGGAGTTAACTTCGTGATACATCATAAATCCTTAGCTTAAAGTTCGAACATAAAATCTTATAACTAACGTACTGTTGGCGATTTTCAAGGTATGACCTCAAAAGATTCAAAACTTTTTTCTTTAACATTGTAATTCGCATTTTGTAAAAAAAATTGAAGATCAACTTTATCGAACGGTTTTGTAAGATATTTTGAAGTGCACATGCAGCTAAACTCATCTTTCAAGTTCTCCACTTTTTGCTCAATGAGGTCCAGGATAGCATCAACTGTACTTTTTGTGCCGACCATTTGAAAAATGGGTAGGAAACTTGTATTCGAGCGTTTTAGTTGTTTTTTTTCCACTCAAAATCAGGTGCCATAAATAATCGACGAACTGGGTTTAGTGATATTTTATATTAGAGCTCTTGCAGTCCTCATTCGAACCACATTAAAAAATTTTCCAAAAAAAATTGTCCCAGCGTTGAGAAAAACCGGCGGTTCGAAATTTTTAGTTTTGCGTCTTAATTCGAGCGAATAAAGCAAGCGAGCAGGCTTATAGCAGCTGAACTATGCCTTATTTAAGACCTTATAACTTAATTCAATGCAAGAAAAATTAGTATTTAGTTTTTGGAGTTTGATAGTTTCATTTTGGGAATCAAAAAAATCAAAAACTTAGTGCAAAAAATTTTGAAAAGAAGTTTTTTATAATGTTTTTTGTTTTTCTAGTCACTTTTCTACGAAAATTGTTGTCCAATTTGCTTAGATTACTACGACTGTCTAGTATGTTTCAGTTTTTTTTACGTCGGAACCCTTTATCACACAAAGCAGAAAAACCACTCTAATTTGGAAAAAAAAATTCTAAACCGTAGTTTTCTACAGATCATGGTTGGAACATTCTAAGCTTCTTGCACAGTAACCCCTATCCTTGATTCTATTTTGGAATCCGTATTGAAATGATGTACTGCTGTTTGAGTCATGACACGAAACAATTCATTTTATGTTTTTTCAAATTTTGTTTTTTAAAAGCATATTACGTCGTTGTATTGTGAAAATCTGAGTCTCGATGCTTGTGTTCATTTAATTGAATGATGCGACAGTTTTGCAGTATATAGTTATATTATCACAAAAGCTAGTGGTTGGGTAGATGGCAATTTTTTTGTAGAGAATTCAAAGGTTTTGAAAGATTTTGATGTGCCTTTTTTACAACCAGACATTGCTATAAAAGTACTTAAAATAACGGCTATAAAATTACATCAAGTCTTACTCAGAATGGAAAAAAATCTGCCTTTGAACTATTCACTCTGGCTTGTTTTTGATCAAAACGAGTGAGTGATCTTTTTGATAACGTGCAGTCATTGTTATAAAAACAAATTTGAATTAAAATCACGAAATTGCGTTACTAGAAATCATCGCTACTCAATATGCAGCTATATATGATTGCATAGGTCGATAGTGTCACTTCTAAATTTCAACGTTTGACCCTTATGTCAAGAATCGATTAACTGAGAGCTCGAAAACTGTTTGGTTGATTGGCTTGTTCGTTGTATTGTGAAATCAGGTGTAATTATTACCGAGGTAAAGATCTAGAGTGCATTGGGGGTACCATCTCGAAGAAGAGTCTTGATATGAAAGGCCATCAAACTGATAACTACGCAAATATCATTCTACATTAATCTTGTTTCGCAGTCTATCGACATATTATTGGGGACTATTAGTTATAAAATAGTACATGGTGACTACCAGGGGCGGATCTAGGATTTTCTCGGGGGGGGGGGGGGGGGGGGGGCGGATTTTCAAAAAAAAAATATGAATTTTTTTTAGATCGACCGAATTGATTTTTGAGCTCTCCCTAAGCATGATTTGGTCCCTTTTTGGGCAAAATTTTCTGCGCCGCAGGCAAAAATTTGAAAAAACAGTCCAAAAAAGGCGTTTTAAGGCACATTTCGGAAAATTTTGACCAAAAAATTACGTTTTTTCGGCGCGCGCTCCCCCCTCAAAATTAGAATATATTGGCGCCCAAGGCGCCTTTAGAAAAATTTTAGGGTCAATCGGCCAAATATGGATTTCTTAAAAAGTACCAAAGGGGTCGGCAGGGGGTCGAATCCCTGAGGAGGGCATCCGCCCCCCCCCCCCCCGCCCCCATCCCTAAATCCGCCCCTGGTGACTATGGCTGATCAATTAATACATGATGACCATTATGATTTTATGCCCAATAGTCATCCGTATATGCCACCCCCTCCATGATAGTGCACTATATGCATACTACTTAGCCTAGACATGATATTGAAATTTCCATCTAAGGTAAAGATGTAATGTTTTTCCTTTGATTATATTATCCTAATTTTATGTTTCTAAAGACGTTTAGGGGCATAATATGAGGGCCTTTGGCCTGTTGATGCTCCTAGGTAGGCTGTAATTATTGGACTTCATTGATTTAGTTCTTTGAATTTGTACAGTGATTGAATTTTGTATTGCCTACTGGGATCTTGTTAACTATTTTCCCCCTTTTGCAATAGGCGCGGGGGGGGGGGGGGGGGGAGAATAGTTAACAAGGTACAAAATTCGTAATGCTTTACTGTTCAATTCTTTTTTTACAGGAGGGATTCTTGTTAAAAGGTACCATAGAGAGGGGGGTGAATAGTTGACAAGATCTGCCTACTGGAATAAAAATAAACAAGACTGCTTGTATCAGGGCGAAGCTCTGAATGTACCCCCTTCCAAGGTCTATTAATTAGTGATAACTAGAAAAAATTAAATGTAAAAAAAAGGAAAAAATAAACTAATTTTTTTTTAATTTGAGATTTTTTTTGAAAATCGTCCCCCCCCCCACACGCCATATAAAGTACAAAATGATAAATTTCGCTCCTAGTGACAAATCAATTATGGCAAATAAGCTTCCTTCTACCAATATGGAACGATTTCTAAGACGGATTAAGTTTCCGCTTACGCGTTTATAGCGCGAAATATATCGCTTGTTTATTATCCCAAAGTGGCCAAAATGGCAGCCCCCATAACTTTACAAAGAATGATCACACATAAAAAATCTTTCCAAATTTAAGCTCAGGACAACAATACCTTTCGATTGATATTAAAAAAACTCCATCAAGAAGGGCTAGTTAAGAAGTCGAAATTTGTCTGAAGAAAAAAGCCACCTCGAGCTCAAATATTCCGTTACTTTCGTTACGAAAGTCGAAACAATAAATAAATAAATAAAGTTAGGATGTGCTTGTCAAGTTGTGAAATGTTGTAAGTGTTCGGCTTGTTAGTAGATACCAAAATTGTTTGGAACTATGCAACCGATTGACCAGTGGAGCTGGAGTAATCAATATTTCTTCGCAAATAACTAATTGACAAATATTGCAATTGATGGGCAGTTCTTGCTTCCTTAACTATCAGTTACAGTAGCAAAAACTGTTTGCGTGGCGTGTTCTGAAGTTGAATTTAGCCAAAATTGGCAAATAATTGCCGTTATTGTTTCAATGCTGCTTAAAAATGGGCGAAAACACGTTTACAGAGCCTAGTTTTGAAACCGAGCTCTCCATTTTGTTTTTGGGCGAAACTACCTGTGGGAAATCGTCCCTGATTCGGGCGTTTTTGGGGGAGAATTTTCTGTTTAAATTGCCCCCCAGCGTCGGAGTGGATACCAGAGATCGAATTATGAAACTAGAAGAAGACAGTCTAGTGGTGAAGATGCGGTTCCTGGATGCGGGATGCCGCGCCACTTTCCAGACGGTTGTTAACTCGTATTACCGAGAGGCCGACTGTTACGTAATTGTGTTCGACTTGCAAAAACGAGACACGTTCGAAAAAGTGCAAAATTGGCTCGACTCAATCGTCGACAAAGGTCAGCGATGACTACTTTCAAGATGTATATTATATCAATTTTCAAACATATAGGCTAGGAAAATACAACAAAACTGTGCGGGAACCGATTCTAAAAGCTAAGTCGAACTAGTAACCGAATTGATATTTTAATTTGGTTACGAAAACTTTTGAATTTTTCAATTAAAACCAAACCAAATTTTATAAGATTATATGGTGACATTTTGGTTCTTTTTTTTCTCGCACTCTTTTGATGTATAAAACTCTTTGACGTAAAGTTCGACTTAGTTTACGTCTTAGAAAAACACAAACTACTTTTTAACATGACTAGCAAAGAAACCATAATTGCTCAGCTTTTGAAAAAATTGTTGTGATGTTTTCAAATAATTACGGATTACATTCAAAGATGTGTTCATTATTTCAATTGGTTGGTGCATTTTTTTCTAGATTATTAATGTGTGAATCATAACAATTATAATAATATTAACAATAGTGATAAATAATGGTTTTTAAAAACAAATGTTTTTGATTGATTTTCCTTTAATAATTAAGCCGGAAAGTGAAAATGTTTTTGTTCTCATTATATTAAACTAGATTTCAATGGCCTTTTAACCACTGAAACCTACCTCATAGAACTGAAGATTTCAGATGTTTTTTTTTGTATCGGCGGTGGAAAAAGTAGTGATAAAAAAATTGAATGTTTTGATGGCGAAAAAATGCATTAAGTTTATTCAATTGTAACTATAAAGAAAATAAATGATTGCATGATGAAAGCTTTGGAGTAGTCATTTTTTCAAAAGGCGGCGACATAAGCCGAAAACTTTTTGTCATAATCGGAAACAAAATGGACCTCGAAAGCCGAGTTCCTCTCTCGGAAATCGAAAAATTCTGCGACGACTGTGCACAGAAACCGCTGATGTTTTTGACGTCGTGCAAGAGCGGAGAAAAGGTTGAGGACGCCTTTCATGACATCGCCAAGGAGTGTATTCGGAAAGGCCTTGGCCGAGACGCGAACAATGTTGGGAAAAGTACAAAGGAGATTAGTCCAGAGTCAGACCCGAATCCGAATTCGAGTTCTTCTGATGGGGGCTGTGGATGTTGAAATACCCATAGTTTACTCAAACTAAATTAGAAATATATTTACTGCAACTGATTTTTTTTCATTTTCTTGACGTTTTTAAATTTTCAATGAAAGAAGTAAAGACACTTATTTCACTGTAGTGGTATTTTTTTCAGGAAATAGGCTTAATAATTGTTCATGTTCAAATTTGATTTTCGCGGTTTGGTTTTTATTTTTGATTTATTTTCAAGTTCAATTAAAAATAATATGCTACAAAAAGTTACGCTCTCAAACAGCGAAAGTTCAAATGGCGCAAAAAAGGCCAAGAAGTTTAGTTTCGAAGGTGCAGTAAGTTTTCTTAAGTTGGGTTAGCTTGATCTAAGAAGTGTCAATCGTATCAGAATCTTGAACTTCCAAGAACTTTAGGGACATCTATGATTTTGTTCTTAAATTAATCAGTCGTTTTTTGGGCAGTTTTCTTGAGTTCAGTGAAACTTTCCCAGCTGCCTGCTGGCTACGCTCAAAGTTCTGAATTATTAAAATTTTAATTAAAAGACGTCATGTTTTGTTTTTCTTTTTCTTGTTTAATCTTTGTTACCATTTAAAGAAATGTTTTAATATATATCGCGCTAAAAAAAAAACAGAAGAATGGCGTGATATCTACGTTTAGAGAGTGTTTTTGACTGTTCAGTTTCTCAATTATTCTCTAACGGTAATCGGAAGTGAATTTCACTGGTAGATTTCACCGAAATAAATTTATTGAATTATGAAGGAAATCTAAAAGAATTTAATAAGGTGAACTCTAATTTTGAATTCATTTTTGAATAAATAAAAAAAAACGGAAAGCTTTTTGAAATTCATAATTGCAATTACTCTAAAAAAATTTGCAGATACTGCACGGAATGTGTATACTAATTAGACTTTGTCTGAATATTTCAGAAAATCAATTTCAACAGGTTTTCTATTCATACATTTTAATTGTTTTTTCTACATAAAGCTCTAAAATGATGCTGGCGACCGAAATTGTTAGCTGGAGTCATCTTGTTAATAAGAAAAGAAATAAAAATGGCACAAAAAGCATAAAAAATATATCCGAGATGATGTTCAAAGCGTGATAACTTGCACTATATTAAAATGGTCAAAATGTTTTTAAAAAAGCACGGTTCAATCAAATGGCACAAAAACGAAATAAAAAAAAACAAAATAAAAAAGAAATAAAAATGGCACAAAAACAGCACAAAAAAGCATAAAAAATATATCCGAGATGGTGTTCAAAGCGTGATAACTTGCACTATATTAAAATGGTCAAAATTTTTTTTATAAAAAGCACGGTTCAATCAAATGGCACAAAAACGAAATAAAAAAACGAAATAAAAAAGAAATAAAAATGGCACAAAAACAGCACAAAAAAGCATAAAAAATATATCCGAGATGGTGTTCAAAGCGTGATAACTTGCACTATATTAAAATGGTCAAAATTTTTTTTTAAAAAGTACGGTACAGACAAATTTTTAAAAATACTTTTGAGCTTTTGTAAATTTCTAAGCAATTAAAATAAGACTGCTCGCCGCTTTATTCGCTCGAAATATGACGAAAAATCAACATTTTAAACCGGTTTTTCTGGACACTGAGAAAATTTAAGATTGGTTCAAATCACGACTGTAAGCGCTTTAATATGATAAACCACTCAACCCAGTCCGATGATTTTTTGTGGTATCTGATTTTGCGAGGAAAACAAAAAGAAAAAAGAAAAAACTAAAATACACACCTATAAAAAGTTCCTCTCCGCATTTTCAATGGTCGGAACAAAAACTTAAAAAAACTAAAACACGCCCGAATACAAAGTTCTTTGCCATTTTCAGTAGTCGGAACAAAAAAGACAAATAGCAAAGAGTCAAAGTTTGCTGAATTTTTCAGTAATTTTTGTGGAGTTTATTCTTAATATTTCACCAAAGTGTTATTTTATTTGATTTTTTTTTTCACAAATCATTGACGAAAATTAATTAGAAAGCACCAGTGATGCTTTATGAATTTGTACCATGTACTATATTAAGAATCAAATTATGGAGCAGAATCTTCACATGGTTAAAAAAAGTCCAGCCAATAAGACATCACCGATTTGCAAGTTCAAATTATCGTTTAGTCAGCGTAGGGAAACTTCTTGAGGTAGGCTGGTACTTAAACAAAATTTTCATTTCAATTGTGATTTTAATTATATACTATTTCAGCGATCGTTTTTGCAGTTAGAAGGGGGGGTTGAGAAATTAGACGATAAGCAAATTAGACGGAAGTACTTAAAAGGAAATTAGACGATTTTCCGAAACTGTAATTGTGAGAAATTAGACAAAAGTGAGAGAGATTAAAATTGTTTGCAGACAAATTGGGTGAGAAAAATAAAGTTGTTTGCAGACAACAGTTAATTTTCGGTTGCCAAAAATTTTACAACTCACTCATGTATAATTTATTCAATTCAAAATTCTCCTGTAATTTTCGGATTTGACATTTTGTGTTCATTCAAACTTATTGTTTTGATAGGTATTGACATTTTATGTTCTTTTTCTATTTGTGAAACTTGACTCTTAAGAAAAAATGTTGTTGGCCTTTTCCTTTGCATTGCTTCTTTGTCTAAAATGCCAGATCTGTGAAAAATAAATTACGTCTAATTTCGTTTTTGTAGCATCCGTCTAATTTTTTTATCGTCTAACTTCCTGGACCCCAGTTAAAAGAAAACAATTGTCTGATTTTCCTTTGTGAAATGATCAAGCTCAAAATTTGTTTAAATTGTTTTTTTCCCAATTTTGAAACATTTACCGAATGATCAGTGCTTAATGCGGTATGTTTTTTTTTCCAGAAAAACAATGTTGGACTGTTTTTTCACAATATCTTTTACAAAAAAATGATGTCCAAAACTAAGACTAATAAAATTCAAAAATAAAACAAATGGATAACTGGAAAAGGATAGTGTATAAATTGTTTCACAAAGCAGTTAAACCGACTGCTGAACTATTTTATGCGCGGTTCCAATAACTTATCTATCAGTTCAGGGCGTAAGCATGAATTACGTAAGTGCCTCAAAAGGTTTTGGTATTAAAACCAGCGAAAATTGAATTGAGACAAGCTACTTTGTGTCACTAAATCTATAAATGCTTGATATTATTATACAGGTCTGGATTTTGGCTGTTGAGACATAGAAAAAAAATGTCGAGTCAATCGTGATGATTTTTACACAAAAAAACTTACCAGTTTTTTTAATGGGTGCAATAAATTTACGAGTGAAAAATAATGGTCAACTGGATTAATATGACTCAGAAATAATTACTACTGGATTGCAGCCAGCTGAATTTATTGATCTAAGTTGCGTGTTAATTGTTGCAGATTTTTCTTCCAACATTTCAAGAAAGTGACGGAATAGTTGTGCTCGGGATGGTTTTTATTTCTCCGGACAAATTTCAAATTTTCAGATTAATTATTTTTGACAGAATTTGTTATATTATCCAAAATATATTGTTGTCCTTGACTCAAAAAAATTCACCCGTGTTCAATTTTCTTTAAGTCATTGGAGTTTGAAATTTGCCATTTTGACCAATTTGGGTCAATAAACGCGCGATATACTTCCAGCTAATGAGGCGTAAGCGGCAATTTAATGTGTTTAGAAATTATATAAAATTAGTTGAAGCTAGCTATTTGTCTTAATTGCTAAGTTGAAAGGAGCAAAATTTTGTACCTAAAATGGCGTAGGGGATGTTTTAAGAAATGATTTTTTTCCTCATTTTTTGAAAACTTTATCATTTTTTTGGAGTGAATACTGCTCCATATGCCTTAAAATTAAGTCGAAACATCCAGGGCTTTATGTTGCCTTTTTTTCAAAAGTTTTAACAACCTTGTCTTGAGACATCTTCAGAGAGAGTTGGAATACTTAAAACTGGTTTTATTATTGGCTTAACTGCAGAATTATAATCCGCTTTTTTCAAACTCAAACCCCTCCTCGTGTAAGTACTGCCAAAAACTGTTAGTTGTAAATACAGCCGAAATTTTTTAAAATAAAAAATCATTCCAAAGTAAAACTAAAACTAATTGGTCGAACTAATTGATTCTAAATTTTGAACAAGACTGCTCGTATCAGGGCTAAACCCTGAATGTTCCGACTGCCTCTTGAGGTCTATGGAGCAGTAATATCATGAAAACATTAAATATAATAAATGAAAATGATTTTTTTTTAATTTTAGATTTTTGGTGAAAACCACACCCCCAGACGCCATATAAAGTACAAAGTGATATATTTTGCTCCTAGTACCATATCATTTATTGCAAATAAGCTTTCTTCAACCAATTTGGAACGATTTCTATGACGGATTAAATCTGCGCTTACGCGTTTATAGCGCGACTATATATCGCGCGTTCAATGTCCCAAAATGGCAATCTTTAAACCCCATAACTTTACAAAAATGATAACGGTTGGAGTATCCTTTCAAATTTAGGCTCAGGACAACAAAAATTTTTGATTGACTTTAAAAATTCCTTCAAAAATGGCCAGATAAATTTGTCTGAAGAAAAAAAGCCCACCCATAGCACCATGTTTCGTTATTTTTGTCAAAAAAGTCGGAACAATAAAGCTATTAGTTTTCAATTAATGTATAATAAATGCGGCGAAATAATTGGGCTCCTAATTTTTCCAAATTGAATTGTGACAAGCTACTAAAAAATAAGTTTAAAGTCGAGAAATTAGTATCAATTTGTAAAAAAAAAATTGCGTTGGGACAAAGCATATACTTTGATTTTTTTTTTTTTGAAAAAATTGCCTTTTTGGCTACTCAAACAATTTTGCAAACAAAAACTAAAAGCTTTATCATTAATTTGAAAAACTATTTGAAACAACTAAAAGATCAGTGGGAACATGAGCTCTGCGTAAATCATGAACTGTGGCTTTCTTTTACTAATGTTTATCTGTGGAATTCCAACCACAGTCTAAACTTTTTATTGGTGGTCAATAACTTGAAGTTACAAGACTGCTCGTATCAAGACTGCTCCATATATTTTGTGCTATTAAAGCGTGAGAGGTGAAATATATCGTTCTAAAATGATCGTTTTTAATGCTTTACCAGGCCCAAAATATATCACTTTGTACTTGAATTCCAATCACGGTCTCAAAATTTTATTTAAGTGGTCAATATTTTGAAGATGCAAGACTGCTCGTATCATGGCGAAGTCCTTCTTGTTTCGTCTGCCGTTTAGTTTAGGTGAAAAGTTTTTTTTTGTCCAAAAAAGGCTAGGTCATTTTTAAAATGCAAACATTGCATAGCGTTCAGGGGTAAATAAAAAAAGCAAGACAAAAATCAATGTTTGCATTTTTAAAATGTTTCAGCTCTTTTTTGACAAAAAAAAAGAACTTTTTCACCAAAACTAAACGGCAGTCGGAACAAGTACGACTTCGCCATGATACGAGCAGTCTTGTAACTTCAAGTTATTGACCAATTAAAAAATATTGAGACCGTGATTGGATGGAATTCGAGTACAACGTGATATATTTTGGGCCTGGTAAAGCATTAAACAAGATCATTTTGGAACGATATATTTCGCCTCTCACGCTTTAATAGCACAAAATATATGGCGCCTTTTTTTATTTAAAAAAAGAGGCCATATATAGAAATTTTAAATCTCCATAATGTTACGGAAAATTCAAGTTAGAACTTTTTGGACAAGGCTTTTTGCAGTGTTTTGAGTGAGCTGAATTTTTCTGACTCGGGGGGCATTAGTTCGAGAAATATGTTGGAAAACATTTTTTCTAGATTTTAAAGCACTGATCAAAAGTTTTGGTTAAATGCTTGTTAAAATTTCTCACTTTTCTGCAAGTTCCAAATGACACCCAAACCGAGTAAAATGGCAAAAGAAGAAATGGCATTTTTTTAACTAACAAAAATACAATTTTAAAAAATCTTTTAAGAACTTGGTCATTTTTGGTTGTCGAGAATTAATTAGGAAAAATCTCAATGAGTGATTGTTTTTGTATCTATTTTCTAGTTGTATCTTTTTTGCTGCACATAAACAGCTCCTGAAATGCAGATTGAACGGGTTCTGAGATTTTTTTAAAGATATTCTTTAGAAATTTCCATAATCTTCAAATCAGAGTCGTAATGCTGATGGCCAAAAGTTTTGATCATTTCAGTCTATGGCAGCATGGGTGATTCATTTGATGAGATCAAGCGGAACAACAGCAGTGCTATGGGTCAGCAGAACCCCACCCTTTCACCTTATCCCTCGGGTGGGGGTGGGGGCGGGTGCTACATTTCTTCACCCTCCTCTAGTGCGGTCCCAATCGCAGCCCCGTCCGCACAATACTTTACGCAACATAGCACCCCCTTTTTCTCTTCTTCGTCCCCCTACAGCACTGCTGTTCTGTCACGTGGCACCCCCACCCATTTCTCAAACACTGACTCATACACTCTCTCAAGCTCGAACCTGACATACCCCCCTAATCACTACCCACAAAGTCCTTTCAGTCCCCCACCCGGAATAGCCAACCGGTCAGGACTCGGCAGGTCCCCCCACGCCGTCAGTAGTTACCACAGCGGAATTGGGACAGGAGGGACTTTAAGTGGTATGGAGCTGAAGGACGTTTTGAACTCCACCACTTGCATGTTGCAGACTGCGCTTTCGAACCTGAACGAAGCCATTGGCCACGAGCACTCCACCGCTTCTCTGCCTAGAAAGGGTTAGTCACGACGAACTGTTGGCTAATTATGATCAAAAATCATACAGATCGCGTCAACTTTAAATTTATTATTTCTATACCTAACAAAACTTCTATACTTAGTTTAAAAAATCAAAACCAAGCTATGATTTTAATATCAATTTAAAGTTTTTTACCAAGTAAGAACTCGTCGGAATTATTACGGCGTCATAAATTAGTAAGCTTTTCCACAAAAGATCTTTGCAAAAAAAAAACATTTTGTAACTAGCAGATTCAAGTTTAAATTTTGAGCTTGACGCCTTCTGCCCCTGTTTAACTATAACATCAGTTTATGGTTGTTATCAGCCTCAGGTAATACAACCATACACCGTTTTTGTGCACATTTGATTTGCACATCCAACCGTTTTTTTTTTTCATAATTGACTGTCTTTCTTATTTGAGCTTTTTATGCACGTCTTAACCCAATTCTCTAGTGTCCGTTCTAATTAAATATTATTGTAAAAAAACAGAAGAGAAAATTGTCTGTCTGACGCAAAAAAAAGTCATAGTTCTATTGAATTTGCATTGAATTCATTTACCGTACAATAAAAAAAATGACGAAGCATTTGTTTTTACTAAAAGCTTACCAAAATGAAAATGGCGTGAATTATGACTTCCGTTCTCCAGGCGTCTGTCATTCATAACCCATGTTTCTCCATACATGATTTTGAAAAACAAATTGAAAATATTTGTTTCTCTAAAGAAAATGATGAAAATCTGATTTTGTTTCAGGGGCCCGTAAATTCGGTCGATCGAATTGATTTTTCGAGCCCTCCCAAATCTTTTTAAAGATCTTATTTTCACCAATTTTCTGCGCTGTAACAGAATTTTTGAAACCACAGGCCAAAAAAGGCGTTTGCAGGCTTTTTGGAAGGTTATGATCAAAGAATTGCTATTAACTGCACTGTTGCAGAAAACTGTGCACTCATCTTCAATAAGTTGTCTTTCTCTTAACATAAATACCAAAAACACCTTAAAATTTTTTTTTCAAGTTGCATCTATAGATGGAACAATGACGGGCCGTGATTTATTCCGATCTCGTACTGTGACCCCACAAACCCACAGCACTGAGTCAGATCCGACCAACCCGAGCAGTCAAAGCCAGAACTCCCTTCCGGTGATCCGGATGCACACGGGTGAAGAGGACGGCGGAATCTTATCAATCCGAGTTCCCCTCACGGACAAAACAGTCGGAAGTTACGACTCACCTGCCACCGGATCCAGTCGGAGGGTTCGTGTAACTGGGTCGCATCCGGATATCATCGGGAGGATTCCGAGGTACGGTGACATGGATCAGTCAACATCGTCGTCAACGGAACCCTCTCTGTCGTTAGAAGACGACTCCGTAATCCACAGTGTGGCGCGGCGCAAAGTGCGACCACTTATCAGAAGTAAACAAATCATCACAGAAGGTAATGGAAAATTCTGTTTTTGTTAGTATATTTTCAAGAAGTTTTTTAAATTAAGAAGCCGTATTTTTTTGAAAATTCTAAGCAGTACTTTGATTTTTTCTAGGAATAAATCTTATTTTCCGTAGACCTCAATTTTTTATGCTTCAAATTGCTTTAATATTGTCTTGAACTATTTTTATCTAGAGGAGCACCAAACTTCTTGTCCCATATCGAGCAGCTTTGTTGTACCCATTGTGGGTATGCCACCATCCCCATTGGTCAACACAGCGGTTGCTCTTAACCAATCAGGAAAGACAACTACCGAATGTGCAAGCCAACCAAGCCCCGCCAATTCCGCACTCCCCAATCAATACTCAAAATCACCACCTTTGCCTACAAAAACAACAGAGAGCACAATCAATGGCTTATATTCACAGCCGTGCGAAACTAGTGCACTCATCGTGCAATCTGAGTGCACGGAAATTGCTGTGCAAGTACACGATGAGCCTGCTCGCGGGCCGAGATTGAGACCAATCACACTCCCGGCGGTCATTGTGGAGCCGGAGATTGTGATTAATCCAGGCACCCCGACGCCTGATGACCAGGACAGCGACTTGGAATATAAGTGGTGGAGTTCCTTGCAACAGGATTCAATAGATGATCCTCATTACTTTGTCAGGTAGTCTTTATTTTGAACTGAGCAGTTGCTTAATTGCCACATAAATAATATTGTCAAAGGTATAAAATTTGAAAGATTTTAAGAAACCGTTTTTTGTTAGAAGACAAGTTAAATTAACAATTGAACTTAAAAGTTTGACTAGTTTTGCTTTCCTTGAAGAAAATAAAGATGTTTTGATGCTTGACTAAAAGAATAACTGCTTGTTCAAAGAGGTCCAAATTGTTTAAATGAATTCTATTTTTCAACCGTCTTGTTTTCGTTTTGTAAATTAAAAACATTTATATATTTTTTGAAACGTCTTGTTTTTTTAGGCTCAGAAGGATTTTGAAAATAGCTCGACCAATTTGAGCTGTTTATTTACTGAATTCACTGAGTGCTAACATCATAACTTTCATTATTCATGAAGTCTTCTCGCGGGCAAGTTTGAAGTGAAGTTTTGATGTGGGCATTGATGTTTTTCAGCCTTGCGGATATGACCGGTGCTCCACATTCTAATCACACTACGATAGAAGAAGAAGAAAGTGCCAGCCACGATATCTTGTCTTCTAGAAGAGGAAGTAACAATTTAACCGAAGGCATCGATCTTGAATCCATGGAATCGGACATGTTGGATCCCGCTACAGACATCGACGAGATCCTTAAGAAAGCAGCCTCGTCTTTGACATCCTCCCGCAACAGTCAGACTTCAGAAGAGTCGCCTAGGAGGTGCAGCGAGGAGGAGACAAGTCTAGGAGGAGTGGGAGGAGTGAAGAGTCGTCATCAATCGATAAGCTCGGGGCCGTCTGGAGTTCAGAGAAAAAACAGCATCGGAATACAGGTAATCAGAGAAAACTAACAAAACGTTCTGTATTGGGAAAGGGCTATAATGATAAAAAATTGATCACTAAAATCAAAATTACACTTTTTAAATAATTCAGTTTGTTTGCAAAGCGTACAAAAATTATACATATAAAAAATCCTAAAAATGACTTTGAAATTTTTGGCTGAGCATTGTTCTTCGAACAAAAAAAAATTAAAATAGCGCGGCGAAAATTCACAGGAAGAAAGTGCCTTAAGTATAACTAATCCGCGATTCTCAGAAATAATAATAATATTACATGCGTAGGTTCCCCACAGGCGTTCTCATCGGGGAAGCGGGATCCCCCCTCAACTGAGCGTAGACAGTGGCGGCAGTAGTGTATGTGTGAGCGAAGAAGGCCCCCGGCGTTTGGGGAGAAGAAGGGGGGACTATTGGAAGTGGGAGTGGGAGTGGGAGTGGGAGTGGCAATGGGGCGGGGGGTTGCAAAATGGGCAGAATGTTGAATCAGTTCAACTTGGGGCAGACACTAGACTCTTCTCTCTCGGATTCGATTGCGACTTCAATGGAGTCGGACTTGAACAGTGGCCAAGGTACAAAAGGGTTTCAGCGAAGAGATAATCAGTTCATGGAGATTTTTTTCCATTGATTATGATCTTCTCTAATGGTAACAATCAACTGAATTGAAAAAAAAACGGTAGAATTTCATTGTCAGTTCATACTTTTTGATTTATTTTCATAAAAACGCACAAATCGACCTTAATCATGGACTTTTAACACTTAGACTGCTCTAATTGAAGAGTTTTAATTGTTTTCAGAGTCACAAACTGCTTCGTTCATGGAATGAAACATTAAGATTAAGTAAATTTTCATTCTAGGTTCTAACAAACGTAACTCTCTGTCGGCATTCAGTAGACAGAACACAGTCAATTCGGACGTTGACCTCGTCATGTTCTCGTCTCGGCTCTCAAGGCAGAATTCAGAGAACTCCTCTGGGGGTCTGTCTCTGGGAGCCCACGCGGGAGGAGCATCGGGAGGCATGCAGGGATCCCAGAATAGTCTGAGATCAGCCGCCTTTTCCCCTATCATTCCAGAGGAGTTGGATGGACCCAGTGACAACCAGCTTTTGGTAAACTTTGTTACAACCCAATTTTAGATTGAACATATTTTTTTTTATGCTCCGCAGGGAAAAAGATGCAATTAAGTTAACAGTGCAAAAACACAAAAAACGAACATAGTATCGAAATTTGATCACGTGTCTACAATTTTTAGGAAAAACTCAACAACAAATATTCGAGTGATTTCTGCCTCTGCTATTGTAGAAATGAACTAGAAATCTAGTTAAAAATGAAGAAGTTGTAGAAATCTAGTTTAAAATACTCTATTAAAAATAAAAGTTTTTTAACGGGATAAATGAACTTTGAGCTGGTTTGTGTGTAGCAAGCTGAGCGAAAAGAGTTGACACACCGAATCAAGCCTAGTAGCGGTCGCCGGAAGTTACGACAAAGCGACCGATTCAGCAGTGTAGACACCCCTAGCATTACCATCACAAATGCAATGGAGGTGTCTCCCACCGAAGAGCTACACCAGACATTGCACGAAGCCCAAACGGGAGATGAGAAGGATAAACTTATACCAGGGTCCACTGTAGCACATCGGAACAAACGATACCTTACACACGGATACTCTCTCGACTGATATTCTCATTAATTCTATATAGAACTCAGTCTGATTAAATATTGATCTCATGTTCCTATGAATTTTGAGTATTAAATTAGTTTTTATTGCTTTTACTGCTTGGGAGAGGGGATGGTGGGGGGGGGGGGGGGGGGGGGGGGTTGGGGGGAGGGGGTGTGGGGGTGTTATGCATTGGCGAAGGTATAAAAAAATGATATTGTCTTCTACTTAATGCTGTTTAAATAAATCGTATAACTCATTAATACAAAGTGTCTTATGATAGGTAATTTCAGTTTTATGAAAAATTTAATGCGCAGCTGCTTTTTTCAAAATTTTGCGTCGTCATTTTTATTTCTAGTTCGTCTAATTTCAAAATGGATTTCTGAGAACTTCTACTGTATAGTCCTTTGAACACTCGTGCTTCTCAAGATATCACTTTCAATTTTATTCTTTCTTCAATTACCCGTTCTTGGAATATCAAATCTATTTAATTAATACTATTTTTTGCCTTGTTTTCGAGCACAAATAGACAGTTTTGGTCTGCGCTAAAATTAGTGATTTCAGTTTGTACTTTAGAAGAAAATTTTAGGTTTGTCAGATCAATATTTAGTTCAGTGAAATTAAGTCTGAAACTTTTCTCGGAAAAAAATGTGCTTTGTCTAATCTAAAAAAGTATTGTCTTAATATTTTCCGGTTATTGCCGAATACATTTAGCATTTAAACTCATGATGAAATTACAACGATTCAGAAGGCATTGAAACTCATATTTTTGAAGTTCTTGGGAAGAAAAAACGAAAACTGGATAAAATTGCTGCGGTACTCCGTGATGAATTGAAAAAAAAACTTATGCTGTTCCTTTCCTTCGTGGATAACTTATCGTAACTTAAATGTTGATGAAAAATTCTGCGGAGCAGCGGTCTCCTCGATGAATTCAATAGCTCAAAGGCTATTTTTTTTCTTAATGGTTATTTTTTTAGTCAAATATTCGAATGCATATTTTTATTAAGTTCTTAATTGTTGTTTTAAAAAAAGCATTAGAACTCACAAAAAC